TGGAGATGCTCATTGAGCTGTTTCCCCGCCCTTTCAGACTGCCAGCTGATGATTGGCTCACAACGGCCCTAGCAACATCTAGCTGATTGGCTCCTCTGCGGTGATGCTCATTGGGCTGTTTCCCTGCCCTTTCAGACCACGGAGCTGCTCATTGGGGGACTTTTTTGGCTCCGCCCACACGACCCAGCCAATCGGCCTCAAGAGCAGGAGGTGTGGGAGGTGGAGAGGTTTGTGGTTTGGAGGGAGAGGCTTGGGGGAAGCTGGTAGTGGCAGTTGGGCTCTGAGGGTTTTTCCTGAGGAGCTGTTTTGTTTGGCGTGTGTGGTTCTAAAAATAAAGTTCGTTTCTTTTGACAAGTGGCTCCTGAATGTGCCCAGCCAGACTGTGGCACTAAGGTATAAAATACTGGCTCAGGGCTGGGGTTGTGGCTCAGTGGTAGAGCACTTGCCTGGCATGTGTGCGACACTGGGTTCAATCCTCAACACCCACATAAAAATAAATAAAATAAAGGCATTGTGTCCATCTACAACTAAAATAAATAAATAAACGAAAGGCTGGCACTGACAATAGATCACTTTCATATAGAACTAAATGCCCAGAATATGCTCAATTTCTATGATTCATTGATTTTCGACAATGTTGCCAAGATAACTCAATGGAGAAAAGGGGAGTCTTTTTAACAAATGATGCTGAAGAAACTGGATGACCACATGCAAAAGAATAAATTTAACACCTGCATTACACAACACTCAAAGATGAACTCAAATGAAGCAAAGAATTAAGCATATAAGACCTAAAACTATAAAACTCTTAGAAGGAAATATAGAAATAATCTTTATGTTATTGGACTAGACAACAATTTCTTAGAAATGATACCAAAAGCACAAATAACCACAGAAAATATCAATTTATCTAAGTCCAAATTAAAAATTTGGTGTGCATCAGAGGACACTTGAAAAGTGAAAAGACAAAACTACAGAGCAGGATAAATAACTGCAAATCTTATGTAAGGATTTAGGATCTAATATCCAGAATATATGAAAAAAACTATTACAACTCAATAACAAAAAGAAAACCAATACTAAAATGGTTGAAGGATGTAAACACACATTTCTCCCAAGAAAATATACAAATGACCAATAAGTACACAAAAAGAGGCTCTACATCCTCAGTCATTATGGAACTATGAATCAAAACTGTAATAAGAAACCACTTTACACCCACCAGAATGACTGTAATAATAATTTTTAAAAAGTACATGCATCGGGCACAGGAGCACATGCCTGTAATCCCAGTGGCTTGGGAGGCTGAAGCAGGAGCATCGCAAGTTCAAAGCAAGCCTCAGCAACTTAGTGAACTCTAAGAAACTTAGTGAGACCCTGTCTCAAAATAAAAAATAAAAAGGGATGGAGATATGGCTCAGTGGTTAAGTGCCTCTGGGTTCAATTGCCAGTGTCAAAAAGGTTAAGTATATGGAGAAATGAGAATCCTCATACATGCTGGTAGGAATATAAAATGGTATAGGAAACTGTGAAAAAGTGAAGAAGTTTAGCAGTTCCTCACAAAAATCGAACATAAAGTTATCATATAACCCAGGAATTCTACTCCTAGATATATACTCAAGCAGTTCCTCATAGAGACACTTCTAGATACACACTCAAGACAACTGAAAATATGCTTTCACACAAAAACAGGATTTAGGATCTAATATCCAGAATATATGAAAATAGTGGTCATAGTGGCATTAGTCATAATAGCCAAAAAATGGAAACCACCCAAATTGATGAACAAATTGTGGCAAAGCCATAGAATGGAAAATTATTCATCCACTAAAAGGAATGAAATATTGATACATACTATAGTGTGAGTACATTCTGAAAACCAGACACAAAATGCTACATATTATATGATCCCATTGATATGAAATGTCTCCACAGAGACAAAGTAGATTAGTGGTTGTAGGGAATGGGGAGGAAAGATTGGAATGTGCTGCTTAATTAAGGGTGTAGGGTTTCTTTCAGGGGCAATGAAATTATAAAACATATTTATCAAATATTTGAAATGGCTTTAGAAATCAGTTAAGAACTGCCAAAATGAAGCTTATTTTTTTTCATCTATCAAAATAGGAAATGTTTGTCCTGTTGTCAGTAGATATCTGTGACTGATAATAACTACAACCAGCTTTACACATTCTTTAATCATTGCAATTACAAGCTTACTGGGAAGAGCTAAACAAAATTTTTATAGTCTACACCATGTAGTACCATTTTGCAAGTTTTATAACCTAAAATTACTAATTTTTCATATTGATAAAGGTCCATAAAAATACTATTTTGGAATGTCTAGGTATTTTAAGATAATAATTCAGTTTACCCCAGYTGCTTAGTTTATGTTAAACATCTGCAAATTCCTACGTTTGGAGATCGGTCTCATTGGGCATCCATAGCCTCAGTCTAATCCAAACACTAGGACATGTGACAGGAAAAAGAGAACTGGTACTTGGAACAGGAGAATCACTATAAACAATTTCCCCAAGTTAAAAAGGACAAAACAACTTGAATACTAGAGTGCTCAGATGTCAAATGTTCCAAAAGAGCAATAAAAGATTCTCAAGGGGTTTCATGTTTCAATAATAGCAATTACTCTACAGAATCTGAAATATCACGAGAGTAGAAATTAAAATAATTTTCAAGCAAGAATTATCTTAAAAAGACTACTTTTAAAAAAAAATTAGTTGTAGATGGACACAATATCTTTATTTTATTTATTTATTTTTATGTGGTGCTTAGAATGGAACCCAGTGCCTCATGCATTCGAGGCAAGCGCTCTACAACTGAGCCACAACCCCAACCCGTTAAAAGACTATTAAATTCAACAAGATCTAGCCATTCCTATTATCATGTCAATGTATGCTGATATTGTTCGCAATCAAGTAATCCCAAAATGAAAAAAGTAAAAGAAGAAGAAAGACATTTACCTCTTCTAAGCTCGGGAGCGAAGAAGAAGATACTGTTCGAGATGACAATGGATGAAATGGCTCTTGACCGACAGCATGTTGATGATTCTGTATTTGTACAAAAGGGTTCTGCGGTGGCCTATGAGGCAATGGAGGTAGGCCGTAGGGAAAGCCTGGCCCTATTAAGTGATTCTGTTGCAAGTTAGCAAAAGTCCATGCTCCATCAGGTGCCAGGTATTTCAAAGGAGGAGGGGCAAGGTGTTCAGATGGCAATGAAAAGGGTGAGCTGAACATCTGGGGAGGAAGGCGCTGTGGAAATGCTGGGTTGTTGGCTACTTCAATGTCTCTGCTGTTGTCATTAAAGTTAGAAAAGTGGCTACTGTGGTCTGTACTGGATGGGGGAGACGGGACTGCTGGTGGACTTCTAGCCTGAACTTGTCTATATTGCAAAAGTCTTGATTGAGGTGGTGGCATTTCAGCTAGTTCTCGAGTTTCACTTTGATCACGATGAGACAACTCTCTGATTAAGTCTTGAAACCTACATAAAGATGATGAAACATAAGTAGAAAACAAAGGACAGGTTCCATTAAGAAGAGTTTAATCCACTACATTGATCATTTCCACAAATCAAATCATAATACTTCATTAGAACCAACATTAAATAATCTTGAATGTAAGCATTAATGCTCAGTAAACAGTGCATTGAAGACACTTTCCCTTTCCCTTTGTATTAAAAGCATCTGTTTCTTGCCTCCACTTGATAACTGGAAGTTACAAAAGATGGTGGATGTCACTCAGAAGGGATTAGCAAACACTCTATAGCATTCACATGATGCTGGCCATAAAGCAAATTTAGTGCTTGGACTACTCTTAGTACCTGTGGTTAAAAGAAGGCTGAAGTCTGTGCTAACAGAAAGAAAAATTATGATGAATTTATAATTTGTAACTTTTAACCACAAGTTCACTTCTGTCCTTATTCATTCTTCTTATGTGTTATTGCCAAATACAAAAACAACAACAACAAAAACCCACAAAGAGACATCCACAACAATGGTACTTTTCTCTTGCAGAAGAGACCCAAAGGACCAAATTAATCTACACATCTGTACAAGAGTTACTTCTAAATGAATTCTCCATATTTTAAAATCAATCAAGGAAATTTTATAGCATGTGCCAAGAAGGCCAGCATTCGATGTCTTGAGACAATATTCTAACATAAAGCTGAAAAGACTACTATCACAAAAGAGAACAGAGGGACCTGCCAAGTACCTGGAGAATGTAGTTTCTGCTTCATCTTCGGCACTGCTGGTGAGCTTCCAGTCTGCCCTCACTGGCGGCTGATGGAGTCCGATGGGTGGCTGTGGAAGGTGCTGGAGGTGAGGATGGTGGTGGTGCGGGTATGCAATGCCACCCTGACTCAGGTAAGCGTGGTGATCATTCCACTGTTGTAGCCGTGCCTGCTGCTGCCTTAATGTTTCCAGAGCTACACTCCCATGTATGCGATCTGCAGAAACATTTGTGAAAACACTGGGTTGTTGTGCATTTGAGGTTTCAAGCTAATTTTATCAAGAATTTTTACAATGAGTTTTTTCCCACAAAGGCAAAGAAATAAACACAATTTGATTTTGGTAGAAAATAAATGCTTTCTAAGTTTGCCAGAAACTAGTTATGATGATTTTTCCCCCCACTTGCATAATGATGTAAATTGACATCAACTGATATTTAGTATTACATACAGCACTGGAACTGGATTCTGATTATCCCACAAGTGGCTGATTTTTGCTGGCATTATAWAAATAAATCAATTCTGACCTAGATTAACATTGTATAGTACATGTCATTTTAAACACCCTCTTAACTCACTTCTAGTAGCAATATGGAAACTTACCTAAAGCCTCTCCTATATGTAATCCCGGGGGGTTCTCATCAATGAAGTTATTTAGATGTGAAGGAAGGACAGGGCCGGGCTGTGCAATGGCTCTCAGAGGACTGTGGCCTTCCTGCAGCATGGGAGGGGGCTGCTGCTCAGAAATCACAGCCTCTGCAGGAGGAGACTGTGGTCGATGAGAAACTGCGTTATTAAAAAAAGCACTGTTGGGTGCTGGCTGATATGCAGGAGAAAGCTGAGGAGGTGGCTGCTGGGCCTGCGGAGTCAACTGACTTTGTTGCTGGACCACCTGATTTGGTTGGGGTGGAATTTGATTTGGTTGTTCAGGCAAATTATTCTGCTGTTGATTTAACAAGGTGTGCTGCTGCGGAATTGGAAATGGTGGTCTTGATAGCTGGGGAAGGGGATGAAAATGTCGATTAGGGATTGCATACTGTGCATGTGGAGCAGGAAGAGGAAGATTTATGTGTCTTGGGTTGAGATTATCTTTTCGAGGAAATTTGGTATTGGGATAAACAACACCAGGACGTGATTCAGGACTTCTGTTCTGTGGATTTGATTCCAAATCAACCTAGGAAAAAATAAGAAGTCTTTTAACTGCAGAAAATCCAAATTCAGTGGCTCTCCTTTTCCCAACCCTAACGCATCTAATGGATATGATTTATTCTCAGCAGTGAAAGCAGAAGTGCTGGGTGCTGAATCAATCACTTTCTGACAATCTAATAAGAAATACTTTTTAAATTAAAAAAGCAACAGAGGGAAAAAAGCATATTAAATTTGAGTCGTAAAAAAAAATACTGCCATTTTATTAGCATATCCACTTTAATTTCTTCAAGAACATTATCTTTAATTTCACACTTTCTTTCTTAGAAAGATAATCATTTATTTTCTCCTGATATAAATCAATAAAATGTGTTCTTTCCTTCTGATTTTATTGTTTACATATATATAATCTACTTCCTCAAACATCAATATTAATTAAAAACTTTATCCCAACTTAAACAACTTTGAAAAGAACAATCAGGTACTATATCACTGTCACATAACTGGTTTGGTTGACAAGTTTTGCCACTGAATAGTATTGACATTCTTTCCATTAACAAACATTTGTTTAGGGCCTACCAAATGCATTTTGCCTAGTGCTGGAGATTAAAAGAGCAACTATAAAACTTAGCCTATCTCCTCAAGAGCTTAGAGCAGGGGCCTTGCAAACTATGGCCCCAACCATACCATTTCCTCTCCGCTGGTTTTTTGTAAATCACAGCATCTTGTTCATTTACATATTGTCTTTAGCTGCTTTTACACTACTGTGATAGAGCTGAGCAGTTGCAAAATAAACTATATGGCCCACAAAGTCTATCTGACTTACTATCTGACCTAACCCCTGGTTTAGAGTCCAGTAGAGGATTAGCAACAGGTAGATACATAATTAGAGATATTAAAGGAGGACATGATATGAGACCCTAGGGTCCAAGCAAGAAAATAAAGAGGCAATGAGATTTGAGTTGAATGTACAAAGAGCCGGAATATTCCAGGAAAGGAAGGGCATTCTCGCTAAAGGCAACAGCTTCTGCAAAGGCTAAGTAAGTGTAAAAAGCACAGCAGATTCGGGGGCATGAGAAGTCTATGTACACAGAGATAAAACTTCACTTGTTTATATGTTAGTTTCCCCTCTTGGCATCAGAAGCAACCACAAGAGTCCAATTACACAAGAGCCCGAATGACTCAATACCTGAGTATAAATACTGCTTTCAATCCTGTTAAGCTATGGTATACTAAGGGAGAGAATGATAGGTTCCCTTTAAAATGCAGGTATGATCATAAGTGGTGACAACATGAAAAACAAAATTTAAAGTGGAAAGATGAAATTTTTCCTTTCCAGCTCTGTTAAACCACTCAACAGACTGCTTTGGCAAATCAATGTTTTTATAAGTTTTGATGCTGAATAATCACTGAGGATTATAGAGCACTTGCTTCAACAAAGGCTCTGACAGCACCTGACAAGATCTTGTGGCTGGTTTTGACTACATCTGCTTCTGCTGTACGATCCACTTGATATCTCTCTGTACCCCCCCCTACATGGGCCACAGTTACTTGCACTGCAGCCCCCCCCCCCTACTGGCAGTTTGCCCCTGGCTACCTAAACACCCTGCAGCTCCTCCTACAATATGAAATCCCTCCGACTCTGACCTGTTAGCCAGATGCTCTGGGGATATAAGTATCTGAATATAAAAGAATAGATGCTTAGTTGAGTCTGGAGGTACAGCTTTGGAAGTCATCATGGAGCAGGTACTTAACATCACGAATTGGACTTGTTTATAGTAAGCAATCAGAGAAAGCAAGAGTAATGAAATAATGACAGAACTGTGGGAAAACCCAACTTAAGGACTAGGAACATATGGGGAGTGGCAAATAGAAACTTATAAAAGGGACAGGAGGTCACATCAGAGAGTTGTGAAAAACAGCAATATTGGGCCGAAGAAACCAAAAGAAGTAAGATGATCAAAGACAGCAGTGGAAAATAGTGCCAAATGCCAAACAAAACCCAAGTAAAACTAGAACTGAAGTGTATTCATAAGATGTGGTTATTTGGAAATCGGTGGTCTCTGTGAAATGCTGACACCTTTACTAGACTCTGTGGGTTAAGAAGCAAATAAGAGATGAGGTGAAATGGAGAAATTAGGGGCTGGCTACAAAGGAGATGAAGGTCAAAGAAACTGCCTTTTTAAAAGTCCACCAATGTACTCACTTTAGGCTAGAAGATAAGTACCTACACTGCACAGAAGAGGAAGAATCAGTAGCTGGAAAGAATCTGAAGATAACAGAGGAGTAGTGACAAATTCTGTGAGGTGACTAGAAGAGGAGAGTCTTGCCCCAACAGAATTCCTCCTCCAACACTAGTAAAAAGGAACTAAAGAACTTTAAGGACAAAGAAAAAAAGATGTATCTAATATTATACATCAACAGGGTAAAATCCTGATGAGGTTAAGTCTAAAGCAAAGTCAATTCCTGACAATAAGGATAGAGAAGTGGAAGGTGATCAGGCTTGAGAAGAGCTGCTTGAGCTGGGTACATGCAAAAGAAAAGTAAGAAAGCCCAGAGGTCCAATAAGATTAGAAAACATGCATCTCCAGTGGCACTGATTCAACCAATAGCACAGTTTTCTCTAATTGGTTCCCAAGCACAGAAGCAGGAAAAGTAAATGGATGGCCAGACAGAGTTAAGGAATCAGGCAGTGGGTATGACAGGAGAGAGCCCTGGACAGAGAAAGCCGTCTTCCTTCTTCACTCCTACAGCTCTTCCCATGCTGAGGTCATGTCAGTGACACATCATCTCTGTCTTCATGTACTACCTTATCATGCAAAGTCTTTAAATTCAATCCATCGCTGAATAACAGAATTTGAGAAAAATATACAGGTAAAGGAACTAACAGCCCAAGACAAAGTGTCAGGTGAAGGTGCAACATGACCCATTAGATCTCTGTGAAACAGTAAGTGTAAGATATACATATAAAGACAGCACTTTTCTTTAAATTATAAAGATTCCAAAATGACCACAGACTAAATCCCTTAGAACAACGAAAAGTCACTAAATGCAAGCATCATACCTGTTTTGGTTCAGCAGGCTTTTTCTCTGGTGTTCGAATCTTATTAATTTCAGGTCCAGCATTATTTGTATCATTTTTACCTAAGAAAATATTTTAAAATCCTCATAAATTTTCTCCAGCAAATGTGACATTTCCATTGACTATTCAACATTAGACAGAATGAGCAGAATATTTTAAACATTTTTGACTCATTATTATTAATTTATATCACAACTTTAGTTTTGTTCTTAAATTTTAAGAGTTGCAGTTTCTCTGCAAGAAAGAAAATTTATAAATGACACAAACCTCAAAGACGAGGCAAAAGCTTAATAAAGGAATAGCCTAAAACATAAAATAATTCCAGAAGAAACTGTCCAATCTCCAGGAATTTATAGCCTCATTTTCTTAACTAGACATTTAAAGGGCCTTGGCATTCTTGCCTACTTATAAAGGTTAAATACTTCGTTCATTTACAATTAAGCAAAAATCCAAATAATGTGTCAATCTAGTTTAGTAAAGGAATCTAAACTGAATGGTTTGAAGCTTAAATGTTCCCCCAAATCCATATGCTAACAGTTTGGTACCCAGTCCGTGAGGCCATAGGTAGGTGCTGAGCCTTGGAGGCATGCCCTTGAAGAGGGAATTGAAATCCTGGCTGTTTGCTCCCTCTCTCTTTTTGCTTCCTGGCTGTCAGGAAGAGAACATATCTCCTCCGCCATTTGCTCCTGCCATGATATACTGTGCCACCAAAAGCCCAAACGATGGAGCCAAGTGACCATGGACTGAAACATTTGAAACCATGAACCAAAATAAATCTTTCYTCCTTCTCAATTGTTTATCTCAGGTATTTTGTCACAGTGATGAAAAGCTGACTAACACCCTGAGTAAAGATATTCTGAAAGAAATGCAAATAGAAAACTGAAAATAAATGCAGGATAAGTGAATAGTAAAAGGGAATAAACAGTAGAGGAAGCAAAAATAATGTTTAAAAAAGCATAATTATAAGTTAGGAATATAGGTAAGTGGTAGGGCAGTTTGCTGGCATGTGCAAGGCCCTGAGTTTGATCCCCARCACCAAACAACAAAACAAAACCAGCACAATTACAATAGACTTGAATAATTTCACACATGTGAATAGCTTTTAGTCTACAAGAATTAATTGCAAAATATTTTGAAGTTCCTTGAAGGAATGCTTAATTTGGATACTTCAAAAGCATTCTTTTTGGACTACCACTACAACTTTGTAAAATGAATTATCAAGCCACAACAGAATCAAACCTAACAGGCAGAGACTGTCATACTGGATTAAAACTGAAAATCAGACACCAACTACATGCTATTTAGCAGAAATATACTTTTTCCCTTTTTAATTTGGTTCTGAGATGGAACCAAGGGCTTTGTGCATACAGAGCATATACTTTACCTCAATGGAAATGTACTTTAAACACAAAGACACAAACAGATTAAAAGTAAAAGACATGCTATGCTATCACTAGTCCCCGCCAAAAGCTGACACTGACTACACTGATATAAAGCAAAGAGCACTGAGCAAAGAATATTAACCAGGTATAAGAAGGCCATTCCATAACACTAAATGAGTTAATTAATCAAGAGGACATCATCTTAAACATTTATCACCTAATACCAGAACTTCAAATTTCACCAAGAACTGATAAAACATAAAGAAAAATTGATAACAATTATATTTAGAGATTTCAATTTCCTTCTTCAGTAATTGATAGAAAAAGAGACAGAAAAACAGCAAGAACATAGTAAATAATCCGGAACAAATTAATCTGATTAACATCTGAAAAGCATTCTATGCTTTTCAAGTGCACATGGAACACTAACAAAGACAAACCACTGTATTAGTTTTTCATCACTGTGATCAAAATGCTCATCAAGAGCCAGGTGTGATGGTACACACCTATAATCCCAGTGGCAAGGGAGGTTGAGGATTGGGAGTTCAAGGCTAGCCTCAGCAATTTAATGAGGCTCTAAGCAACTTAGCAAGACCCTGTCAATAAATAAAATATAAAAAGGGCTAGGGATGTGGCTCAGTGGTTAAGCGCCCTTGGTTAATCTCCAGTACCCAAAACAAAACATCCCTTAGTTAATCCACAATACCCCAAACAAAAGAACTTAGAGCAACTTAGAGGAGTAAAAGTTTACTTAGGGTCATGGTTTTAGTCCATGGTCACACAGCTCCATTGCTTTGGATCTGAGGTGAAGCAGAAACATCATGGCAAAAAGGCATGGTGGAGGAAAATTACTCACCACATGGCACCCAGGAAGCAGAGAGAGGGGAAGGGGCTAGAGATAAGATATATCATCCCCAAAGCCAAGTCCTCTGTGACCTACTTCCTCCAACGATGCCCCCCTGTCACAGTATTCACCTCTTCTCAGTAATTCATTCAAATTATTAATCCATCAAATGGATTCATCCACTGGTAAGGTTATGGTGCTCATGATTCAATCATTTCCCCCAAAGCCCCACCCCTAGAYACTGCTGTATGGGGACCAACTCTTCAACACTTCAGCTTTTGGGAACATTAYAGATCCAAACCATAATAACTATATTCTGTGTCATGAAACAAATATCAGTAAATCAAAAAAGGATTTGTATGGTACAAAATGTTCTCTTATTGCAATGAAATTAAAGTAGAAATCAATAATGGAAAAATTCTTAGAAAATTTCCAATAATGAAAAACTCAAACTCATCATCATTCTATGTAATTCATGAATCCTAACTTTAAAGAAAAATATTATAAATTAAATATTTATGTTAATCAAGCTTGCACCTCAATAAAACAGTGAAAAGTCATATATAAAAACATTTTATAAATGTTAAGGAATTAAAAACTTTAAAAAAACCCATATATATATATATCTCCCTGTTCTTGGATCAGAAGACTAAATATTGTTAAGATGTCTATTCTTCCAAAATCGACCTTAACACATCCCAATCAAAATCTTTTCTGGTAGAAACTGAAAAGTTGATTCTAAAATGTATATAAGATAATACCTGGAAAAGACAATTTTGGAAAAGAAGAATCAAGTCAGAGGACTTACACTACCTGCTTTCCTGACTTTTATAAAGCCACAGCAATCAAGACAGCATATTTGGCATGAACACAAACATATGCACTAACAGAAGAGAACAGAGTCCAAGTATATGACCAAATGATTTTCAAGAGGGGTCCCAAAGCAGTTCAAGAGGAGGACAGATTTTTCAACAAATGATGCTGGAACAACTGAATATATATATGCAAAACCAAAACAAAAAGACTATAATCATTACCTCGTATAAAATACAAAATTTAACTCAAAATGGACCTGAAAGTCAGAGTTAATAGTCTAAGACTTCTRGAAGAAAACAAGAAAAGACCTTTGTGACCTTGGGTTAGACAAAGATATTTTAGACACAACACCAAAACACAATTCATAGAAAAATAAATGGATAAACTGGACCTTATCAAAAATAAAAACTTCTTTTGAAAGAAAATGAAAGGAAAGCCAAAGTCATATTCTGGGAGAAAATATTTTCAAACCATATATCTAATTAAAGTTTTCTATCTAAAATATATTAAAAACTTAAAACTTAATAAGACAAAAAAACAATAATAAAGTGAGCAAATTATATGAATAGACATTTCATCAGAGAGGATACACATGTGGCAAATAAGCACAAAGAAAAGATACTCAGTATTAGCAGTTATTAGGGACATGCAAATGCCACAGCAACCTGCCATCAAATATTCACCAGCAAGGGTAAAATAACAAAGTCTGACAATACCAAATGTTGGTGAGAATGTGGAACAAAGGGAAATCTCACACATTATTGGTAGGAATGAAAAATAGTACAGCTACTTTGGAAAATAATATGGCAGTTTCTTATAAAGTTAAAAATGTATTTACAATATACACAGCAATCTCCCTTCTAGGTATTTACCCAGGAGAAATGAAAACATGAATGTTCACAGCAGCTTTATTCATGAGAATCAAAAACTAGAAAACTACTGTATCCACCAATTATGGGTAGATAAACACATCSTGGTGTACCCATATAGTGAAATACTAATCAAGAATAAAAAGGAGCAAGCAACTCACTCATACTACCTGATGAAAGATCAAAAGCAGTCAACACAGCCAAACATGAACACCTATATACCCTGCAATTCCATTTATATGACATCCTAAAGACATAAGTACTAGCTAGTGGTTGTCCAGGGTTGGGCTCAGGGGATGGGAATGTCTGCAAAGGGACATCAGGAAACTTTTTGAGGTGATGTGATATCTTGTACCTTRATTTTGATGGTAGTTAACAACTCTGTGTATTTATTAAAACTCATCAAACCATACATTTTTAAAGAGCGATTTTTACTGCATATAAATCATACTTCAATAAACTTAACTAAGAAAAGTAATAGGTAATTTTTTTCTTACCTATAATTCTGGTAGATTTGCATAAGAAATACATATTTTATATCAACTATCCCACAATAACATTAATGCTTAGTACACTACAAGAATATTTTGGGTTAACAAAATTGGAAGGAAAGGACTTTTCTTTGCAATTTTAAATGACTATTATATACAGAATTCAAAATATTAAAATTTAATATATTTCAGGAAATCAGTAAAACAAATCATAAGTGCTAGGGTTTAACCTAAAGGACACTCTGAAATTACATGCMAAATTTGTACCTGTGTACATATTTATGTCATCTGGAATGAGGATCCATGGTTGTTGTAACAGGTTGATTTCAATAGTCCATGATTAACAATCATACTGTGGACAGAACTCTGCATGCCATCAGTTTATGAACAGAGTACAGCATAGCAACCTACCATTTCGATTTTGTTCATGTTGATCCTTCTCCAGATGCTGATTCTGTGGCTGCCCTATGCTGACAGGTGGATGATGTCCAAGGCCATAAGGTATAGGAGATCCCCGTCCATGTGTATGTAATAGGTTCATATTGTAGGCCATTGCTGCTTGATGTGTAATAATTCGAGGATCAACTGCAAACCTACCCTGGTATCCTGTCCATGGTACCTAGGTTATTACAAGAAATAAAGTAATTGCATTAAGTATATTTTGGAATGCAAACTTCTATAGTACTTTGATTAGAAAAAGCATATACCAACACAGAGGACAACTATCAAAATGAGCAACTACAAAGTCAGTGCTACTTAACAGTATCACTTGGTAGAATCAAATTGCTATGTCTTAAGTGTACAAAAAGGACTCCCTGAATTTTTAGTGTGTAAGGAAAAATGGGTCACTTTTCAGATTCGGAATAAATTGAGKCATTAAATCATTTTACATTCTTAAATCATTTCCCCTCAATGTGAACATATGCATGTCACAGATTACCACAAAACTTATCTTCTTAAATAAACTGCATAGTTAYGTAGTTTAATAGACTTAATTAGAGAACAGGAGGTAAAGTGAAGGAAGAATTTAGTCTAAGGTGTCTCACTCAAAAAGTAAATCATATAATGTAAACATATTTAATTATTTCCTTTATAGCATTTAAAGTTCACTTATTCATTAATTCAAATAGGTCACTACTTCTATTACTGCTTTTGATGAAATCAACTCTACCTTAAAATACAGAAACAGAAAACTTGTTTAGGTATATCTAGACACATGATGTCTGCACATTAACATAAAAGGAATAAATATAACATCTGAACTACTGTCCCTATTATTTTATTACGATATAACTATTACATGCAGATTCTTAGGAATCTTACATAATAAAAGCCTCTCTGACCTAGTGAAGTGAATTTTAAAACCTAAGAGACTTTCTATTTATAGCTGATGATGTATAATGTTGCCAGGCTGGGAAGAAATAACTCTACTAAACTCTGAAGTTCACAGGGAGTGGGCATAAATTACCTATTTCTTACTCACAATCACTCTCCATGGCTRCCATGGCTGTGAACTACCATAGCCAACAAGGCTACAGCACATTCGCATTTTAGCACTTTCCCCTTTCTGGGGTGTGGGTGCAAAAGATCTTTTGTAATAATCACCACTGCCTGAAATTACAGTACTTCACTTACATGAAAGAAATTACTTCCTAGGCCAAAACTGCTGAATTTGGAAATATTCTCTCTCTCTCTCTCTCTCTCTCTCTCTCTCTCTCTCTCTCTCATACACACACACACATACACACACACACACACACACACACACACATACACAAATAAAATTGACAAAAGTATTTTAAAACCCTAAAGAAAATTTAAAAATGGGTTTATGATACAATATGGAAGTATCTGAAAGCCCATACCCTTAGAAAAGATTCAGAAACATTTCTAAATGGCAGAAAGGTTTCTTGAATTTTTTTGTCTAGAATTTCTCAGACAAATTCAGATCTAAAAGGACTACACTAACCCAACCCCCTCTGCCTCCTCCAGTGAATTCTATGTATCAAGAAGATTTCAAGAATTATGTAGAAATAAAAAAACAAAAGATAAAGTAAAAGCATTGTTTTTTAAAACAAGAGACCAAGTTACTAGTTCTGTTAACTTTCAGTCCAATTTCTTCAGAAAAAAAATATTTTAAAAGAACATAAAACCTCTCAGTAGCTCTGGAGGCTGAAGACAGGAGGATCAGAAGTTCAAAGCCAGCAACAGCAAAATCAAGGCGCTAAGCAACTCAGTGAAAAACCCTGTATCTAAAGAAAATACAAAATAGGACTGAGGATGTGGCTCAGTAGTTGAGTGCCCCTGAGTTCAAGCCCCAGTATCCCCACCACCAAAAAAAAAAAAACAACATAAAACCTTCTAAATCAAAACATTCAATTTACAGATCTCTTTATAAAGAATGAATATCTCTGTTAATAGAGTAACAAATTATAAGCCACAATACAAATTTCTTTGGTCATTTCAAAATTCAACAGTTAAAGATAACTTACTTTAAAAGAAGCTTATAGACATTAAAAAGTTAAAACACAATAAAGAGGTTAGAGCTGGAGACATAGCTCAATGGTAGAGCACCTGCCTAGAATGTTTTGAGGACCTGGTTTCCATCCCTAGAACCATCAAAAAAAATAAGGTTGGGACAGTTTGGGACTGTCACTAAATTTACTGAAACCTATTTACTTTATTCAACCATAAATATTTCACATAAGTATTTACTTACAGGCAAAGGCACCGACATAACTACGTTCCCTCCATAGACAGCAGGTACATAAAGAATACTTGTCCCAGTGTGAGGATCTATTCTTTGAACAGGGCTTGGAGATTTCCCCAAATTTGGGTGAGGTCCAAGAGGAGGTGGAGGAGTATATGCTCTAATAGGATTGCCAATCAGTACAGAAGGATTGGGAGGAACTGAAAAATAAACAGAAAAAGGATGCACTCAATAGCTATACATATTTACCTAGACAAAAATAGTTTAAGTCACCCAACAGCAAAATGTATTTCCCAGATGTGGCATAAAATAGCTTATAATCAAAGAATTATTAGTGTGGAAGAGTAAAGCATGTTAAAAAAACAACCATTTTACAATGTTCTCTAAAATCAGCATGAGCTGTACAAATTAGCTTGTAGGAACCAGACAGGTATTCTTCAAGAAAGACACCCACATGTGCACATACTCCTAGTAAATAGTCCTCTGGGACCAGGAAAATATACGATTCTTYAGAATAAAGTTTTGACTTGCAATATAATATAGCTACATACAAAATGAAGATTAAGTAATCATTACTTTAAAAGCATAATTCTACAACCTTTAAAATCATTTAAATAAACTTTATCTTCAAATCTATACGATCTCACATTTGTTGGAGAGAAATAAGTTCTGAAAATTTATGACTTTGCAGCCAGGCACAGTGGTGCATGCCTGTAATCCCAGCAGCTCAGGAGGCTGAGACAGGAGAACTGAGAGTTCAAAGCCAGCCTCAGCAACTTAGTGAGGTCCTAAGCAACTCAGTGAAACCCTGTCTCTAAGTAAAATACAAAAAAAGGGTTGAGGATGTGGCTCAGTGGTTTGAGTGCCGAAGGGTTCCATCCCTGGTACCAAGGGGGGGGAAAAAATTATAAGCATAAAAGGCTTAAACGTTTTTTCTCAAAACTCCTGGATACATATGCTGGTGCCTACAAAATGACCTCTTTTTAAAAAATGACACATCAACCCACTGACATAAAAAAAATAAAATAAAAGAATTAACTGATAAAATAAAATAAAAGAATTAAGTGATTGTCTGTGTTGTGAATTCCTGAGAAAGCAAAAGAGGGACAGATGGTAAGGGGATTCACTTTCATTCACAGTGAAATCTGGACTGAATTTCATATCATAAAAGGATAGGATAGGATAATTTTTCTGCTTACCAATTCCATCATTTTGGAAATGATCATTCTGAGTATGATGGAGGCTTTTTCCCTTTAAAGAAAAAAAAAMCAATATATTATAATTTGAACATGTTTAATATTAGAGAACAAGAACCCTTTTCCTAATCATATACAAATTAAATGTAAATGGCAACAATTAAAATTTAAAAACTGTGAGTCTATAATTAGTAGCTATTAGACTGCTTTGAGCCAACTTTCTTTTTATAAATAATAGGTCATCTGCCACTTATTCATTCAAATATTTCTTTTTATAAATAATAGGACCATTTCTGGTCCCCCAGTTTTTTCTTTTCCAAATTAAGGCTATCTAAACTTCTTTTCTCAATGAATTTTCTTAATTAAAAGAAAATATGCAACCTACATGTCTGAAACATAAACTTTATTCCTTTGTAGCTTCTTCTAAACTTTCTAAGAATTCAATGACAAAACATAAAAACTGCTTTTTCAGGGAAAAATTTCAGTCTTCTATTTTTGAGGATGAAATCTTTAGAATAGTAACAGAATATAAACATGACTTGGGTTTTATGGCATTTTGAATATGATTCATAGTATCTGAAAGTACGAAATTTTCTAAAGAACAGGAAAAAAGACTATCATAATTTGCTTTAGAGAATCTAGCTAATTGCTAGACAGTAATTTGGCAATATATATTAGAAGCATCAAAAATGCACATACAGGGTTGGGGTTATAGCTCAGTGGCARAGCGCTTGCCTTGCACTTGTGAGACACAAGTTTGATCCTCAGCACCACAAAAAATAAATAAATAARCAAAGTAAAGGTATTTGTCCATCTACAACTAAAAAATGAATATTTTTAAAAATGCACCTATACTTCAATCCTGTAATTGCCCTTTCAGGAATTTATCCAAATGAAATAATCATGGATTAGAGCACAGATGTTCATTGTGGCACAGTTTATATGTGTGCTAAATGTTTATCTGAATGTCCATCAATGAAGGATTTATTTTTTTTTTTTAAAAGCAATGGCAGATTTACATACTAATATCTTTTTCTACCATTAAAAATGAAAACATTTGGGCAGAAACAATATTTGAGACACAATGCTCTCAAGTTCTGAACTTTTTAAGTCTTTCTCTTCTTAATAAAAAAAATGTAACTAACACATGCTAAGTAAGCTGAGGAAAAAGTGGCACACTATGCAACTTACCTCTAGATATATACAAAATTTATTTGTACATAACATCAGAAAACTAAAGGGGATAATGTTTACAAGAGGAAGAAAAATTCATTCTTGACCAAAGCAAAAAATACAATGACACTTAATTTATCTACACATGCAACTGTCAAAGATGTTAGATACTTAGAACATCAGTAAACACTGAAGGTTTAAAGTGTGTTGATTATGAGTGGATGAAGGTATCTAAGTCTTAAAAAGTCATAAAAAAAAGCCAAAAAGAATGATAGTTGGCGAATGGTAGCCAGAAGAGAAAAATATTCATAGTGACTGGCAGCAGCTATAAAAAACAAACTTCTGAGAAACAGTGAATTGATAAGAAAGGAGAAAAAGGGAAAAGAAAATGGCAAACACTGAGATGTCAGGAGTAGGGGGTAAGATCAGAAGCAGAGCAATTAGAAGTGACAAGAGCAGCCAAAGGCACATACACTGACAGAAGAAAGAAAAGCCAGTGACACAGAGAGATAAGATAGTTCCAAGAGGGTAACAAACCATTTAGATTTTAAAGCCTCCAAACCTATCACTATGGCTTGCTAATAACCCATGAAAAAGGGACAACTATGTAGAGCAAACCACAGAGAGAAAGCACAGCAGTTGGTCAGAATGTGGGAGGCTGCAGCACCTGAATGATGTGCACACTCTAAGCATGCGTCCTATGGACGTGATGTGTTATTTGGCAAAAAGGACTCTGCAAATAGAGTTAAAGTTGTGACTTAAAATAGGAAGAGTAGCCTGGATTATCTGGTTGGACCCTATGTAGTAATATGAGCCCTAAAAGCAGAGAAATATCTCTAGCTCAGAAAGGTGCAGTGGAAGAAGAAATGTGGTAGAAGAGATGTGGTAGAAGAAATTCTGTGGGACAGAAGGAAACAATGCACCCTTGCTGGCTCCAAGCTGCAGGGGTACTTCTGAGAAACAGCAAGAGGCTTCTACAAGATAGGAATGCTACTAACTGATAGCCAGCAAGGAAATAAGGACATCAGTCCTACAATTGCAGAAACTAGATTCTGCCAACAACCTGCATCAACTTGAAACCAGATTCTTTCCCAAGGCTCCAGGTAAGAATCCAGTCAGACAACACCTCAATCCCCACCTTGTAAAACCCAGAGCAGAGAAAGCAAGTAAGCCAGTCCCAGCATCTGACCCAGAGAACTATGAGATGATAAACTGGTACTGTTTGAGTCCCTATGTTTGTGGTAACTTGTTACAGCAGCAATGGGAAGCTAATACAAAGAGTAACCACAGTCCAGGACAGTCCTACCCTACACAACTGGAAGCTGCTGGACAAAAACATCAGCACTCTGGGTTGTCTAGCATCTTTTAACTTAGAGCAGGAGATTTACTTAGTTTACYCAAAATAAACTGTTTGATAGCTTATAAATAAAATAATAATGTAGCACTAAGCTAGAGCTAACTATGTGTAAAAGTCATTCCAAAACTAACTCCTTTCTAATAATAAATCTCAGAAAGCATCCTAAYTATAATCAGGATTATACTATACACTAATTAACATCAGGATTTTTTAAGCAAAAGTAGCTCATATCATCCATTGCTTATATTCAAATGTAGTTTATATCACCTGCAACTTATTCATTCAAATATTTATTTTTTCATTTACTCACTTTTGCCCATTTATTCTTTCAACAAATGTTTACTGAGGGGCCCACCATATGTCCATCCTGACTACCAAAGTAAATAAGCCTGACACATTTTCTTATCACTGGACACTGAGACATAACATCAGCAGCTGGGTACCAATGGTAAAAAAAACAACTAACAAAMTAAAATATGTAAAACAATGGGATGGTCTTCAGAGGATCCATTTTTAAACATGATCTGTCTTCTGGGTCATGTTCAAATGAAACTGGCCATATCTGCAAAGCTTCCAAACACTGCTCCCACCAAGTGCCCTAGAGAGTGCAGTGATGGAAGGCCACACAGGATCACCTCCTCCCAGGTCTCCTGACATTTTGCATCTTGACTAAATCTTACCACAGAAGTATTAGGACAATAAAGCTCCTTGATTTTTGCACAGCTATCAGTATGTTTTATTGCCAAATTAGTCCTGAGGAGGCATGCCCAGGAGCACTTTTAGCCATCATGTAACCTTGTGATGATTTTATTTACATGAACCTTATTGGGATTTTAAATTCTATTCTAACATTAGAGATACTGATATAAAATATTTCTTACATACAGAATTGTGTTAAATTAAGGAAACTTGAAAAAATAGAATGGCTCAGCATCCCATTTAAGAAATACCATCCCGGGGGCTGGGGATGTGGCTTAGGCGGTAGCGCGCTCGCCTGGCATGCGTGTGACCCGGGTTCGATCCTCAGCACCACATACAAACAAAGATGTTGTGTCTGCTGAGAACTGAAAAATAAATATAAAAAAAAAAAAAGAAAAGAAATACCATCCTTTTCTATAATGAATTAAATCCCCCTTCATTAAGATTCTTGCACATGAAATAAAATAACTRGGATTTGTTTCAAAATTCTCCAGCACATACATGTGGAAGTGGTAGGATGGGAAAGCAGGACAGAGATATAATAAGAATAAGCTGATAAATGATTTGGTTAGCCACTGACAAAGATGATAACATCTATAGAATCAGTGAAAAAGACTTTCTAGGGCTGGGGATGTGGCTCAAGCGGTAGGGCGCTTGCCTGGCATGTGTGTGGCCCAGGTTTGATCCTCAGCACCACATACAAACAAAAATGTTGTGTCCGCCGAGAACTAAAAAAAAAATAAATATTAAAAAATTCTCTCTCTCTCTCTCTCTCACACACACTCTCTCTTTTTTAAAAAAAAAAGCCTCTGATTTCTTGTCTATGTCTCCTTTTAAAAAAAAAAGATTTTCTAAAAAGTTTAGGATATCTTATTTTTTAAATTTGTGCTCTTATTTTTTTTTAGTTGTAGTCAACTAAAAAAMAGTTGTACTACTTTTAGTTTATTTATTTATTTTTATGTGGTGCTGAGGATCTAACCTAGAGCCTCACACGTGCTATGTGAGCGCTCCACCGCTGAGCCACAACCCCAGCCCCAGGATAAATTTTACGAGACAGTTTATTGAAAGCAAAACGCCACATGACRGGCCATAACCATTATTCATTTATCGGATACTTTCTTAGCACCTACTATGTGCAATGAATGGGGAACTCTCTCTATCCACTCACAAACTTCCTGAAGAAGAGCTCCATGGTAGAAGTTGCCTTGAATCTACTTACTTCCTCTGACCATCATTCTTTTACCTCTTCCAACACCTGCCACAAAAGAACTGAGGGGCTAAAATTTGCTGATGTTAAATTAAGGAAACTTGAAAAAATAGAATATGCCTCTTTAGCACCTGGCATATAAGATAAACTCATTTATGCAGAATGCTTAATCCTCTGATAATGCCAAATCATTAAAGCATTATTGCACATTATGTACATTTTTATTTACCAATAATATACAGCAGCAGTATGTTAACATAGAAAGTAGTTCTCAGCTTAATACCTATTTAGCCTAAAGATTTTCAAAACAAGCCATTCACTATTGCTGGCACATGAGGTGTAATAAAATTCAACACTAACAAACTCTTTTAATTCATGTTAATAAGTTTCATACCACACTGAGGACTATAAATGTATAAAAATACTAGAGTAAATACTATATGTGCCATTATCAGAACCTTCCTTTTAGGATGTTTTTTTTAGATATTTTAGATTATTTTTTAGACACTCTAGAAAATAAGCCAACTGTCTCTGTCCAAAATAACTGCCGTTCAAAAGCGGAAAGAGCCTCAACTCTCTCAACCCCACTCCCTCTGACTGGATTCTTCCTAAAGAACAAAAATGAGTCAAAAAAAAAAATCAATCTTTAAGAAGCTGGCTAAATTTCCTCAATGTCAAATACCTTTTGAAATGAGTCAGTCWTCAATGAAAGATTAGACTTATCTTCTTTATATAAATATTATTATTATAACATAATCCTTATAAATAATATGCTGTTATAAGATGCAGGATGTTTTAAACTGTGTTGTTTTATTCACATCTTAGCTGACAGATAAAACCAAGTCTATCAGCAGTGAGGACTGAGAAGGTATAGTACACAAAGGATACCACACATTTTCAGATACTTTTTTTAATGTATTTTTTTTAGTTGAGGATGGACACAGTACATTTATTTTTATGTGGTGCTGATTGAATCCAGTGCCACACACGTGCTAGACTAGAGCTCTACCACTGAGCCACAACCCCAACCCCAACTTAAAAACTTTTGGAGGATGATTACGACCTTAAGTAGGTGGTAAAAATGCACTGTATTTTTATTACATGCCACATCTAGACAAATTACTTGCAGAAACTGCTGGTCACCAAATGCAGTCTTCAATTCTGAAGCTTAAAGTAACTTGCAACCCAATAAACTTTCATGCTGTAGCGCTGTTCTTACCCTTTCAACTCTACAGCTTCATTAAGGGAGGCTTTACCTTGGGTGGTGACTGCTGCTGCTTGTTGCTATTTCCTGAATTCTGCAGTCTTAGTGCCCGGGGAATAAATTCAGGAGCCAACGGATTCAACACATATGTCTTCTTTAGTTCTAAAGCTTCTAACTGAGCCTTGATCTGTTCAAATGTGATCCCATGTAGACTGTTATTTTCATGACACAGGGCAATAAACCGCTCCCAAAACTTCCTACAGAAAAGATTTACAAGATCAGGATGAGACCACAGAAATGAATATAAAAGTGATTAAGGATAATTTCAAATTCTGTCTCCCCCCAGTCCCAAACTCTTAAATCCAGTAGTCATCTCATTATGATTTAGGTGCAATCTTCCTACGACAATCACAAGATTTCAGAAGTTTGGTGCTTAAACTAAGTTTGGTGCCTCATAAATAGTATGATACATAGAAATAGGCTTGCACAAAATTTTGGCACATCAATGAAAGTAAYATAATCAATGCTCAATTATCAGTGCTGATACAGAATGATGTTTTTGTTATCCACATAACAACCAAGGATTTCAAAGCTGATAGTAATTCAATGTATAGAAAGTTAAGTACTTCAGGGCACACTCATAAATACATATGTTTTTCTTCACATACCATCAACCATGCTTTGGACAACAGACTGAATATATAACAGTGGTTCCCTAAGATGTTATCACCTAGAAATGGGACAGCTATCTTAGTTTGTGTAAATATACTCTAGGATGTTATCACCTAGAAATGGGACAGCTATTTTAGTTTGGGTAAATATACTCTAGGATGTTCCCATAATGATAAAATCACCTAACAATGCATTTGTCAGAAAACATATCATCAAGCAATGCATGACTGTAAGTACATATTACATATACATATATATAATGTAATACAATTTATATGATTCAAGTTAATATGTATATATCTTATGACTTATAATTTCAAAGTAGCTTGGTGCTAGATGACCAAGAAAAGCAATTCAGAAAATAAATTTGCGCCACAAAGTACATAATTCTCATGAGGATTCTATAAAAATAACAAATAACCGTCTGCAGCCGGGTGTGGTGGCTCATGCCTGTAATGCCAGTGGCTCAAGGGGATTGTGAGTTCAAAGCCAGCTTCAGCAAAAGCAAGGCACTAAGCAACTCAGTGAGATCCTGTCTCTAAATCAAATACAAATTAGGGCTGGAGATGTGGCTCAGTGGTCAAGTGCCCCTGAGTTCAATTCCTGGTATCAAAAATAAATAAATAAAACAGCCATCTGCTCCTATGTTTTTCTCTTACTTAGCTGATGCTTGTCACAAGCACATCTTATAACATTGACTAAGTTATGAGTGTTTAAAAATTATGTAAAATACAGGGAGTTGGAATATTAATTTTAACGTTGATTATCTCCTAAACAATATGTACTAAAGAAAAATGCATTCAAAACTTATTGCAGTTGCATATTGTTATTTCTTAAAAAAAATTTTTTTAGTTGTCGATGGACCTTTATTTTATTTATTTATATGTGGTGCTGAGAATTGAACAGAGGGCCTCACACATGCTAGTCAAGCACTCTACCACTGAGCCACAATCCCAGCCTTTCGTATTGTTATTCTTAAAGTTTTGAAAACAGATCTCTAAATACTAAAAATATTAAATACTTACTATAAGAAACATATAAAAAGGTTTTAAATTTTAAATGACTATATGCATACCTATGTTTAATATGAGGTTCAAGTAACATTTTATTATGCTATAAAAGATAAGGCATGGCTTCTTCCCAAGCTGATATCCTGGTGTCCAGGTGGACAGCAAGTAACCAAGATGGCTTCAAGAAGCATAAATGGAAAGGTTTATAAGAGTTAGTTCAGGAATTGGGTTATTAATATATTCACAAAACTTTGCTGACCAACCATGTTTTCCTTACAGATGTGTCTACAATCTTTTCAAACTTTTCTTTTGTTTTGTTTTTAACAGTGCTGGAGACCAAATTCAGTACCTACTACATATTATGCAAGCACTTTACTACTGAGCTACATATCAGCCCTCTTTTCTAATTTTTTAAATATGGGTTTAAGCATAGGTCCAGCCACTGGGATTACAGGTAGCTCAGTGCAAGAGCACTTGCCTAGCATGCCTCGGGTCCTGAGTTTGATGCCCAGTACCACAGAAAAGAAAGAAAGAAATATGGTCCAAAATAAATTTTAGGCATATATGTAACAACAGAAAAGTAAAACATACCACAAAATATTAAATATTTTGTGCTTTCTGACTATAAGACAAAAAAGCTAACAAGAATTACTCAAGCTACTGTAAATGTGTGTTGCAAAGAAATGTACACTGAAAAGTTGTATTTTTATTCTGAAGAACCCTTCTGAAGAAATCAAGTTTCTTTCTCATTATAACATGAGAAAACCTGAAGAAGGGTTATCTCTAAGACAGCATTCAGAATCAAAAGTCCTTAACCTTCCAGTCTCTTTGATTGGAATAGCCACAATATTCAACTGTATGAATATTTATTAACATAATTCTACTTCATACTGTACTCTTAAGGAAGAGTTTAGGGTTTATTTTTTTCAGTCTAACTGGTAAAAATATTAGTTCCATAGAGTGGCATTTCACTTTTGTGTTGGACTTCCAAAACAAATAGGACAAAGAAAAAAACTGGATTGGCTCTTATTCTCTAGCTCAGTTTGTAATATCAATTCAATATTTTCATTTCCAGCTTAGGCAGTCCAAATGCCAGATCTTGGGTTTTTTGTTTTTTGTTTTATACTGAGGATTGAACTCAGGAATACTCAACCACTGAGCCACATCCCCAGCCCTATTTTGTATTTTATTTAGAGAGAGGGTCTCACTGAGTTGCTTAGTGCCTTGCTTTTGCTGAGGCGGGCTTTAAACTCACGATTCTCCTATCTCTGTCTCCAGAGCCACTGGGATTACAGGTGTGCACCACCATGCCTGGCTGGTCTATGTTTGAACTACCTTCTTACACTCTAAACCCTCCTTCTATTGCCCTCAATGACCTTAGCTGCATCAAACAAGATCTGAAGCAACACTGAATTAAGCAGAGCCATCAAAGAACTTCACACTTTATAAGAGAAGCCAGTGGCTCAGTGACAGAGTCTTTGTCTAAAAGATCCTATGGAGTAAAAAAAATTTAATTACCTTTGAGCTAAAAAACCTCATTTTAGAAAAAACATTAAATACTTACTATAAATTAATCAAGTTAGCCGAGTTCCAAAAGTAATCTGAAATTTATATTTCAAATCTGGCTTGTCTTCTTATTCTGCCATTGATAGAGCAAATAGATGCCTGGTTCTAACACCCAGTAACTGAGTTGACTCCAGCAAATTACTTATCCTATCTTTATACCTCAATTTTCACATGTGTAAAAGAGGGCATCAGCAATATTACTATTATCATTCCTTATTATTGAAAAGACTATTTCTCACTTCTAAACTTTCAGAGAAATATATTTTTCCTTCAAAACTTCTACATTTTAAAGCTAGAAAGAATTTTGTTTTTTCTCGTAGTGAAGGCTCTTTCCAAGACTATTCACATTGCTTATGAATTCCCAAAACTTTACTGAAGTGCTACGCATGGCATGATGAGGCATTCTGAACACTCATCACTGGAAGACCATTTGAGAACTGACTATATTCATAATGAGGCTAAGAATTCACTAAGGTTATGTAAAGCCTTCCCAATTCTCAACACCTTCCCTAAATTGTTTATGCTTACCATTTCTTTCTTCTAGTTATATTGGTTTGGGAACCCAAATATGTCTTCATTGTAATATAATTTCAGGTATTTCAAAGGACATATCCTTCCTTTTAATCACTGAACAAAAACATGACTACAAAGTTTGGTTTGGTTTTTATGTTAACCTTTTTCTAGGATCACTAACAGAATACTGAAGAATTACTTGAATAAAAACTGATTTAAGGGGCTGGGGATGTGGCTCAAGCGGTAGCGCGCTCGCCTGGAATGCGTTCGATCCTAAGCACCACACACAACCAAAGATGTTGTTTCCACCGAAAAACTTAAAAAAAAAAAAAAAAAAACTAAAAAAAAAAAAAAAAACTGATTTAAAAAAAAAAAATCAAGCTGGGAGGCTGGGATTGTGGCTCAGCAGTAGAGTGTTTGCCTAGCACGTGCGAGGCCCTGGGTTCAATCCTCAGTACCACATAAAAGTAAAATAAAGATATTGTGTCCAACTACAAAAAAAAAAAATCAGGCTGGGCAGCGGCTGTGACTCAGTGGTAGTGCGCTTGCCTAGCATGCGTGAGCCAAGGGTTCTATTCTCAGCACCATATACAAATAAATAAAATAAAGAAGGTCCATCAACAACTAAAAAATAWTTTTTAAAAAATCAGGCTGGGGTTACAGCTCAGTGGTAGAGTACACGTGAGGTACTGGGTTGGATCTTCAGCACCACATAAAAATAAATAAATAAAATAAAGCATGTGTCCATTTAAAACTAAAAACAATATTTAAAAATAAAATAATTACTTGATGTCCTGAGATCACTACAAGATCCCTCTACATGTTTACATTTCCCCCAAGTTAATGAAATGTGCTAATGAAGAAATTCAGTTAAAGGAAAGAAATTTTCCCCTTATACACAGCAGAGTAGGGAAATGTTATCACCATGTCACCACCCTCCCCTGTCTCCACGACTCAGTGCAAAGTGTAGATCTGTTGTGTATTCATCACTTCCTGGGAAAGAGCCTGAACCGTGAAGTCAGTCTGACATCTGTCTCAGTGAACCACATAATAGCCTTGTCACGTTGGGCACTTATTTAAACTCTTTGGATTGGGCTGTTATTTCAAATGCAAATAAAATAGCTACATTGCAGAATTGTTGGGATGACTGAATCAGGCAATGTGTGCAAGGCACATAACCTAGCACGTGGCAGAAGGAGAGCTGTCAATAATCGGTTGCCACAGCGTTAGCATCTGCTAGCATGGAGAACAGGGTGGGGAGAASTTTACTACATTTATTTCAGGCTAATAGAAAAAAATCCCATTTAAAAATAAAACAAAAAATATATATAACTGACTGATATATAACTGACTTTATACAAAAATCATTCCTTGAACTTTTGATTATAATCTAGGAATATTATGCTAATATTTTTATAAATATCAAATGAAAAGTGAGGGAGGGTGTTCTCCATTTTTATAGGACCTGAAAATCACATTATATTATCCACCTTTACTTGCATTGTGAGAGTAAGTTAATTTCTAATGAAATTAACAAGATTAAAGTTTAAACATCTGTGTCTCAACCATCAACTCAGACTACAGTCACAATTACACTGTTCAAATAAAACAGATAATCATTATTCCCATTTAGTTATGGAATGTATGATCCCTACCCACCCACCCACACACACACACACACAATTTATTATTTCCCTGAAAATATTCTGCTTAGCAAATAAATTAATTCGAGGTTCTTGGCATATTCCAGCTAAGAAGATAAAAATCAGCAACCATAAGACCTAGTTTCAAGTTAAAAATTAGCCCTGGACAATTTGACAGAGTGACTTCAGGAAGAATTCTTCATTATTTGCTCTGAGAAAATAAGAATTCATGTCAGAGAAGGGATAAGAAGTGCTGACCTCATGCAACTGACAGCATGATATGGCTCAATGAAAGGTTTCTTTAAAAATATTCAGGTTTGTAAATATTTGCAGTTACTTATACAGCCCAACAGTGATGTGGCTTCACACTATACTCATGATTCTTCTTTCCCCAAAAGTGTCTAGTTGTTCTGTCATCCTGTTCTATATATGTTTTAATATAATAAATTTTAATCAAATTATATACGTTCTCACCAAATGATAACTAAAACAACAATGGAAAAATACCACAGCAACATCCTAACCAAATACATTTTCAATGGACATAAAGTAATAAAAAATAAAATTCTCATGATGAGAGTAAACTTATTAATACATGCAGTTCTACTCATTTGTAACCTGGAAAGTAATATATTCCTTTCTCTACAGCTTGTCATTAGTGACTCCAAATGAATGGCAATCTATTTTTTTAAATGAGAAATTAAGGACATGTTACAACAAAACTGCAGATAACATCATGATTCCTCCAAGCTTTGTTATTTTTAAAAGAAAGTTATTTTTCCTAATGTAGCCATACATTATAATCATTTACTTGATTCCTTTGTGAATAGCTTTCCCCTTTAAAGAAAATTAACTTCTTTTGGAGTCTTAAACTAATACATGAACCTTATTCTTAAAGGTCCCAAATTGACCCTTTCTCTTAGAAATTTTTTTCCTGCTAAATATGAAAACAGGCAATTAATTCTACCACACCTACAACAGAACAGAAAACAGATTTCTAAAGAGTCATGTCCTAACAGTTTTTTCTACTTTGATTCTCACATGTTAAAAAGAAACAATTAGGGGCTGGAGTTGTGGCTCTGTGGTAAAGTGCTCGCCTAGCATGCATGAGGCACTGTGTTCGATCCTCAGCACCTCATAAAAATAAAATATTGTGTCCACCTAAAACTAAAAAATAAATTAAAAAAAAAAAGAAACAGTTAGCCAAGGCAGATTTGGGAATGTCTAAATTTCTTTCTATATTTTGAACTTACTGTGAAAGATATTACCGCACATATAAAATTTTAAGTAATCTCTGATGAATGTCTTTATTTCTTTCTTTCTCATAAGGAATATTATAAATTTCTGTTCAARTGCCTTTAAAAACAATGTTAACACAGATTTTCAATACTCCAAAGGACAAATAGGACTGGCCTCATACAGTTTAAATTCCTATTAATTAGTAAAAAATCACAAGAATATAGAGAAAACTTTTTGTTTTGGTTGATATTTAAACCTCATTTTAGTGGAATTGTTCCTTATAACTACAGCCTAATGAATATGAACAATCCTATCTAGAGACAAGTAATGGCCACTTCTAACCCCCTTTAATTTTAAGATTCCTCTGAATTTACCAGATGCAAAGAATTACTTACATTGAAGTACTGAGAGAAACCACTACAAAGGGAATTCATAAAAAATTGAAACTAAAGTAACAATAAAAGGGGGGGCAGGCAATACAAAATTCAGCCTCCCTGCCACAGTCTGGCTGGGCATAAGAGGCACTTTTAGGTTCAAATAGGAACTCCTTTATTGCCCGAACTTCCCCCAACACCCACTCGCCACCCAGCCACCCACTGGGCCCTTCCAGGAACTCCCTCCCCCCCCCCCCAGGAACTCTCTAGGAATCCCCGAAAGAACTCAACAGGAACTCAAAAGTAGCCAGGCGCCCCATTGCCTGACAGCAGGGGTCTATATACAACTGACAATCCAGCATCATCCAGTCACAGCAATTATACACAGCTTAACTTAATTATCAYCATCTTAATGGCTTGCTCTCAACACCTCTCAACCATTCCTTCTGGCAAAATGCCAGGGGCCATTCCACTGTGGCTCTCAACACCTCCCTCAAAGATACACCAATGCACAACCACCCAAAACCACCCGGGCTCCTAGTACCAGCTGCTCCTCTTCCTGGACACTTCATAGCTCTTGTTGCCAAAGTTGGCTTCTCACAAGGCCAGCTCTGACTGCATCAAAAACCAGTCTGCCTCACACATTCATGTCTAATTCCTCTTAATGTCCTGTTTCTTTTACATTATACTTACTAAGTAAAATACTATACAAGGGCTGGGGTTGTAGCTCAGTGGCAGAGCACTCGCCTAGCATGTGTGGGGCCCTGGGTTTGATCCTCAGCACCATATAAAAATAAATTAATAAAATAAAGGTATTGTGTCCTACTACACCTAAAAAATAAATATTTTTTAAAAATACTATATAATATTCTTACTTAGTTCACTGTCAGTCTTTCTTTACTCCCCAATAAAACATAAGCCCACAAGGACAGAGATTTTTGTCTGCTTCATTCACTGATGTATCTCCAGTGGATAAAAGAATGCTTAAAAGAGAGAAGGCACTAAGGAAGTATCTGCTAAATAATGATTAAATTAATGATTACACAATTATGCATACAATGAATATACCCAAAGTAATATACTTTTCCATTTCCATTGAAGCCTGATTTTAATTAGCCAAAAGGTCATAAATATACATGTATACACAGACATACAAATTACTTCACATTTCCCCCTTTAATATGTCAATCAGTAACATGATTACCTGCATCTTCCAATAGAACACAGAGCAATGGGATCACCCACCACAGCAACCAGGGACTGCGCTCTTGTGATGGCAGTGTTGAGAAGCTTGTAGTTAGATAAAAAACCATAATCTAAGTCCTCTGTGGAATCTTCCAGAAGTTGCTCTTTCTTTTTAATTGGTGTCTGTTTATGCTTACAAGTATGTCTTGTCCGTACTGTGCTAAGAAACAAAACTCTGAATTGCTTTCCTACAAGACAAAAATTTTTTTAAATGCTTGAGACTGTCATTCTGAATCACTGATATAATAAAGCATTGCATTTTTAAAAATATAAGTACTAGATAACAAATGGTGAGGATGCTAGTGGCAATGTAAAATGGTGAAGCCATTCTGGAAAACAGTGGGGCAATTCTTCATTGCTGGTCCAGAAGTGATCTAGGATCTCTTAAAGATCTGATATCTTTTATAAGAATTAAAAATCAAATGTGAGGGGCTCAGGTTGTGTAGCTCAGTGGTAAGGCACTTGCCTAGGACAACTGAGACACTAGGTTGGATCCTCAGCACCACATAAAAATAAATAAATAAAGTAAAGGTACTGTGTCTATCTACAAAAATCAAATGTGAACACACTTTAGGCCTTAAGCATTTAATAACTTACTTTATTCCAATTAATGCTTACCTTGAACATTTAGCACCCTTTCCACATTCACATCAGATAATCTCTTTTTTCGAAGTTCAGCACGTATCCTGAACACTTGATCAGCATATGGAGTCACCACACCAATACTGCCATCATCCAACTTTCCCCACGCTACTGGCCACTTCCTTCTTAACTCTTCTACACGTTCCACCACTTCAAATACCTTTAAACAGACACATACACACATATTAAAGTTATCACCAGTGTTTGGAGAAAGAATACAGTAAGTGAAATAGATTTATAAAGGATCCCATTTTAGCAAAAGCCATTTAAAAAAATACCTCTAAATGGGAATTATGTTTTGCTGGTGTGAACAAAGTGATAAAAATAAATTTATATTCACATTTTAAACGGTAAAATTCTATAATAATGTAACCAGTGAAAACATGAAAATAAGAGAAAATGTAATTGGCCCACATCYTTCACCTAGCTCCATGCTTAACTGGGAATAGGCTCAAGCTTCTGTACAGAAAGAAGAACAGGAAAAGGATATGAAATTAGAAAAACAAGTCCTCACATAACCAGTGCTTCTCAGTCTGCTCCCACCAGATTAGGCTAATGAAACTAGCCAACTAGAAGATTCCTATAATCAGTGTACCATTAAGTCCCAACAATACAAGCAGGGTACAGCATTGCCTTCTCCACCACTAAGTASGTGGACCAGCCAATAACCATCAGCTGACACCAAATACAAATTTACATCAGAGAGAGAGACTTTCAGAATGCATAGCCTTCTTGTGGCACAAGTTCAGCTAGGCCATTTCATTATCTTTGCAATAAAATAATAATATATTTTATGCAACTGAATATTTTGGACCCTACTTACTGGATTAAGATAGGGTTTTTAGTATAATTTGACCTATTTTAACTAGATGAATTAATCAAATAATTTCAATGTATGGCATAGTGGGAAATACAAAGATTAATAAAAACATGTTCCTTGCCTACTAAGCAATTATGATCTATTTACAAAACAGAGTGCTAATTGTGTGTGTGTGTGTGTGTGTGTGTGCGCGTGCGCGCATCAATCCAGGGTCAGGCAAGACCTGAGAAGCATACAGCAAAAAGAAAAATTTTAAAACATGTCTTTTAAGTACTACTTCAACTTTTGAGATGGGGTCTTGCTATGTTGCCCAGGCTAGTCTGAAACTTGTGAGCCCAAGTGACATTGCCATCACAGCYTCCCCAGTAGTGGGACCATGGGAGCGTGTCACCTTGCCTGGCTTAAGTAGACAATTTATTTGCCATTTATTAATAAAATTTATTTGAATTTATAATTTAGAACAAATTGACAATTTTTGTCTTTTTTTTGTTTTTTTTTAAAAAGTCACCAGAAGTGAACTATAATAGTGATGAGCAATTTATGAATTCTTTTTGTAAACATTTATTTTTTTTAAGAGAGAGTGAGAGAGGAGAGAGAGAGAGAGAGAGAGAGAGAGAGAGAGAGAATGACTTTTTTTTTTAATGTTTATTTTTTAGTTCTCGGTGGACACAACATCTTTGTTGGTATGTGGTGCTGAGGATCGAACCCGGGTCGCACGCATGCTAGGCGAGCGTGCTACCGCTTGAGCCACATCCCCAGCCCGACAATTTTTGTCTTTTCAAGACCTTGAGGATTATTGGCTGGGAAGCAGTTCCTGATTCTAGACACAAATTTAATGAATGACTACAGGAAATGGGGATCAGGGAATAGACACTATAGTTGTCTACTATTGTAATAATGATACACAGCAGGGCATCAAATACACAGACTGCTCAAGGACTCTAAATAACAAACCAGACTAAACACTGGTTGGTATTCTCACTATGGGTAACAAAAAAGGGTGGGGTTAAGTATATTACAGTAAAGAATAAAAAAGAAACTGGTTTTACCCAAGTGACTAGACATAGAGGAAGATAAAACTTGGGAGACACCTCTCCTGTGTCCCCTGCCACAGAGATCCTATCACTAAGCAACACATAATCATTTCTCCACTTTATTCCTCTGTTCGCAGCCTTAGATTCTTGATAGCATAAAACTGTAGTTCAGATGTTGGTATGAGAAGCTTGGGGAAACCTCTCCCAAACAAGTATCCATGAAGCTGGTGAGAACAGGTAAAGGCTCTGGAGATTGATCAAAGAGTTCAGAAGAAAGTAAAAAGCATTTACTCAATAAAACCTGCAGAACTCAGTAACCTAGGTGCTGCACCCCACCCCCTGCCCTCTTCACAGCTCTGTCTCATAGGACTGTCTCATCAGGCAACTTCTATCTAGGCAGTTCCCATCTCCCTTAGCTCCCTGGGGTAATGGAGCTATTCCTGGTGGTTTGGCAACCTGTAAACACTGGCAGATCCTATTTTATGTTGCCACACACTGCAGAAGGTTGAGCAGCCGGAAGTAGACAGTGCCTATTCCCTGATCCCCATCTCCTGCTACACAGGGAAGCCCAAAGTGGGACAGTGGGTGAAAGTGCAGCCCCCCTTTCCTGTACAGCTCTGCACTGGATGAGAGCTGATTCAAAGTGTKTGGTAGCCAATGACAGTTCCCATCTTCCCCATTTCCCAGAACAGACTCCCAGAAGAGAAGTCCTATTCAGCAGCCTATGAAAATCTGCAAATTCCAACCTCTTCCAGTCTGGGCTACAGAAGGTCCACACTGGTAGTGGAAGCAGCTAGATGGCAGGATACATATCACACACATACACACATACATTCACAGAGATTCTGTTACTAGGGTGGATGCCAGTGGGACAGCCAGAACAGAGCAAGTTCCAAACCTTCCCCCAGCAACTACTCATAACCTCTGCCAAGGAATGGGTARGAGTAAGCCTCACAAACTGGCAATGCTCTGCCTCTGCCAAAACCCAACTTCACTGGATCACACTGTGGAACAATATATGCTCCAAGCAGTTGAAAATTAAAATAAATGAAAAGAAAAACTAAGCCAAGGGACTCAAAAGTAGATTTGAGCTGACAAAAGAACAACTCAGTAAATGTGAAGACAGATTATGCAACCTCAAGAACAATGAGCAAAAACGGTGACAAAAAAATGAACAAAGGGACACCATTAAGCTCACCAACATACATATAATGTGAAAACCAGAACAGGAATGCAACGAATTAAAAATGTTCAGAGAACTTACCTACAATCCCAGCAATTCAGAAAGCTGAGACAGGAAGAGCCCAAATTCAAGGCCATGTAGCTCAACGATAAAGCACCCCTGGGATCAATCCCCAGTACCAAAAACCAACAAAAGAGAGTTCAAAAAAATGATGGCTAAAAAGTTTCCRTATCTAATGAAAAACACTGATCTTTGCATCCAGTGTCAATGATTTCAAGTAAGATAAACACATCCAGATGCACACCTAAACATACCACAGTCAAAATCTTGAAAGTCAAAGACAAAAATAAAATTTTGTAAACAACAAGAGGAAAAACAACACATCACTTACAAAGAGATTCTAATACAATTAACATATGACTTCACATCAAAAACGATCAAGGCTAGTAAGCAATGGGAACACATTTCCATGTGCTGAAAGAAAAAAAAAAAAAACTCAACCAATAATCTCATATCCAGCAACACCTTTCAAAAATGAAGGCAAAACAGACATTCCTAAAAAAAAAAAAAAAAAAAAACACCTGAGAATCCTTAATAGAAGACTCTATACCAGAAATACTAAAAGAAGTTCTTGAGGCAAAAAGCAAGTGTCACCAGCAAATGTCAAATCCACACAGAGCACTACTGAACAGGTTATTATGTGGGTAATCATAAGATGAAGTACAGAAGCACATTTCCTCTCCTTTCCCCTCTTAACTAAATTAAAGAGCMCTGCGTAAAACATGTTAGGCTATAACATACAGAAAACTAATATGTATGACAATGAAAGCACAAAAGAAGTGGGTGAATAATGGCACCAGACAGTAACACAGAGAAATGATGAGAATCAGAAATATTAAATAAGAAGGTTAATATAGCAAACTCTTAAATATATGCTAGTCCCACTTTCTCTTGGAAAATTTTAAATAAGATCATATAAAGTATAATTATAACAACGTATTATTCAGTTTGTTATATGTGCATATGTGTATTAATTGCATAACACCAGCATAAAAAGGAAAGAAAGAAAAAAGAAGTCATTGACACTGTATGTAGAAGTAAAGGTTCTATATATCATGAGAAGTTAATAACAATTTGAGGTAGATTCTAGTAAGATAAATATAATGAGTCCTAGAGAAACTGCTAGGTAAAAAAATAAAATATATATAGTTTATTAAAGGAATTAAAGTATGATGCTAAAAAATATGTATAGCTTAATATAAAAGGAGGTAATAAAGGAGAAATAGTTTTATAAAGAGCCAGAGGTAAAAACCATAAATAGTAACAATAAGTATAAATGGGTTAACAATCCAACAAAAGGGCATAAATTTATTTTTTAAATTATTTAATAAATAATTTAAAATAATCAGGCATGATTTATTTTTTWAAAAATTCTAGTGATATGCTGCCTACAGAAGACACGCTGGATTCAAAGGTATGAAAGGATGGAAGTAAAAAGATGGAAAAAAAGTATACCAGGCAAACAGCAACTAAAATATTATCTATAAAGAGGGACATTTTATAACAATAAGAAGGTCAATCCATCAGGAAGATATAACAATTATAAATACATACACAAATAACCACAGATTCCCAAAACATATGAAGCAAATATCACATTCTCCTTTTTTTGTCTCAGGTCCCACTAAAAACAACAGATTCATTTTCCCTACCTACATACAGCCTTGCCTACCACTCACCAACTCACTGAATTTCTTAAGGTTAAGAATCATACCGAAGAGCATAGTATTTAATTCTACATTAAGCTGAGACAACTTCATTATTTGGGGGATTTAAATTCAGAATTAAGAATCGTCTCTTGCCAGGCTCAGTGGCACCTAGCTACTTGGGAAGCTAAGGCAGGAAGGAAGACTGCAAGTTTGAGACCAGCCTGGGCACTTAGAGACTCTGTCACAAAATAAAAAATGGAAAGGGCTGGGAGGATAGCTCAGCTTTCAATTGTCCCTGGGTTCAATCTCTAGTATCACCAAAAAGAGAAATAAACACTTTCTCTTATTCTACCACATGTTCACATGATGCATAAAGTACATGATAAAGGGGCTAAGGCTGTAGCTCAGCAGTAAAGTGCTTGCCTCACATGTGTGAGGTACTGTGTTTGATMCTCAGCATCACATAAAAATAAAGATACTGTATGTTCATCTACAACTAAATAAATATTTTTTTAAAATGTACATGATAAAAATTTTTAAAACATTCCCTAAACAAAGGAGACTTATATAAGCAAAAATACCATGAGTATACCAGCAGCTCCAGATTCTTTAATTTTGCTTTCAATTCCAACCTGTCTTAAGTTAATTTTGACGGTTAAGTCTGTGTAAGATTATCTTTTTTTTTTAATATTTTTTAGTTGTTGATGGACTTTTATTGTATTTATATGTGGTGCTGAGAATCGAACCCAGTGCCTCCCACATGCTAGACAAGCACTCTACCACTTAGCTACAGCCCCAGCCCCAACATTATCTTATTTTCATAACAGTGGCATTTAATCTATTCTCAAGGACTCTGTAAATTTTAGTCAGAATTTTTACAGAAGAGATCTCATTTCCCCCTATCAATTAACTGGTGCCACTTGCTCTTCTTACTCTATACACAAAACAAACATAGGTTTCACCTTTAATTTCATACCATTAAGAAAATCCCAAGGATTGGGGATGTAGCTCAGTGGAATCAGGTGGTACCACAGAAAAGTCAAAGGCTTCTAGAAATGTTCCAGTATGCCTATATTGATAACCAAGTAGGCCTACTCTGGTATTCAAAAATTCAAAATGTCTTCCCTGCAGTGAACTAGGATCAGTTTTTTTCCACTTGAAGAAAGGTCCTGGGGCAACGTGTGTCTAAATTGATTGCAATAATTCATGAGACTAAAGAGAGTGACTAAACAACCATGCTCTGATGAAGTTCAAGGTGGCTTGAAATTTCTCTAAAGCTACATTTTATATTTAAAGGTCACATAAATGTTGGTTTTATATTTTTTAATATGAAAAATATATTTTTCTTTTTTTTGAGAGAGAGAGAGAGGAAGAGAGAGAGAGAGAGAGAATTTTTTAGTATTTATTTTTCAGTTTTCAGTGGACACAACATCTCCATTTTATCTGTATGTGGTGCTGAGGATCAAACCCAGCACCCCGCACATGCCAGGCGAGCACGTTACCGCTTGAGCCACATCCCCAGCCCCAAATATATTTTTCAAAAATATTTTTTAAGTAAACTTGATAGTCCAGGAAGACACAATTTTTTTTTTTTTAATCCTACAGCTAGTAAGTTTTCTGAAAAACATACCATGTCACTTTGAAGGAACAAGTAACCCAAGTCAAGAAACAGTCTCAGGTAACCCTCAAGCACGGCTCAGGATCAAGTTTAATCAAAACTCAACTCTGATCCCTGTTGTCACAGAAAAAAAAAAAAAAAAGAAAAAATCCAGAGCCTTCTGGATTTTAAGCCCTGTTTAACACTCTGGTCAGCCCTCCCACCCCAACACCTACCATGGGTAATTTCTAGGCCAGTGATTTCCAATGCGAATGTAAGACCAACAAAGGAGATCCCAAGTTGTTTTAAATAATACCAATATTTAAAGAAACTGCCCAAAAAGGAAGAGAGGGAAAAAATATTTAAAGAAAAAGTTTACCCTTTCCTAAATTTACTGTTTCCTAAGTAAATTTAAATTTACAAATTCCTAAATAAAAATGTCAAGTTTCTTGGCTTTGGATTACGGTTTTATCAAGCAAGTACTGATGATATTCTTGTGTAGACTTCTAAATACAAGTCTCTGATCAGTTTTTAGAGGGAAATTAAATACTATTACATAATRGAAGCCATTTCTTTGTAAATAAAGTAAGTAAAGCATGAGATCCAAAGGTAGTAGACATCAGAATTCCCCCAATGAAAATCACCCCATTCTTGCCTCCTTTGGGATTCTTGAAGTCCCTAAAGAACTGTCTTGTGACAGCCAGAACCTTAACCACAAAGTTTCTGGCCTCCTAGCTCCAAAGTCTTCACGGGGTTTGTCTGCTGCCTCACCTGACWCCTCATATTACCAGCTTTCTCTCTAAAAGCCAGTAACTAGAAGAAAACTAAATTGGAGCCCATGATGAGACAGAAATGTCATTATCTGCAACTGTGTGATCTCTTTCAAGCACAAGATTCTGCTATTCAAGTCAAACTCATTAAAAATGATAACTCCTTTGATTATGCACTATAAAGTTTAATCAGCCTATCTTATGAGAATAATATTGGCTTTTTTAAAAATGAAATCATGCGTTTTATGTTTTACCACTGAAACAAAAAGTAAACCAAAGTGTTCGTTTCCAGTAGGAGATTCATCTTAATAAATCAATGTATARGGACAGGATAAGTTTTACACACTATGAAACAAATGCACATCAACGAAAATGTTATATGAATACTCAACAAAACCAGACCATGTAAATGAAGAAAGGTTAATCTGCAAAAAGAACTAAAGTACCTCTGCATTGTTATAGTATGCTGTGCTATTTTTTTCTTGCACATCTTCCCCTCGGGCTGTAAAAAATGTTAGTGGGTAGAAATCCTTGTGTGCTGGTTGCTTTCCACTGGCCATCAGTTTACCCTCATAGAAAAGCTCAGAGGTATAACTACAGAGAAAGAAAAGAAAAAGAGAGTAATAAATCATCAAAATTAATTTAAACTGCCACCCCACCCACCACCACCACCACACACACAAATCAGTCATTTCTAGTAACAYTGCTTTCTGCCAGTGGTTAATTTTAATATCAACACTGAATACCTATGATGCTGATAATTTCTCCAAATATAACCACAGCAAAAACAATAGAGAAAGCTCCTGGTGTACCACTTTTCAATGGATTGATTTGGGTAAGGTACAAAAGAATAGAGAGAAAAGGAAGAAATGATGACAGTACGGTACTAGTTGAAATCTTTATTCTAGGAGAAAATTTGTTAACTAGCATGTTTTCTTGATTGGTACATACTTCACCCTTTGTGGGTCATACAACTATCCAGTCATGTGTCACATAATGATTCAGGTCAATGATGGGCCCCWTATTCTATAGTAGTCCCATAAGATTGTAATGGAACTGAAAAATTATCATTGCAGCCAACAACAGCATTGGAACCCAACGTGTTACCACGTATTTTTGGTGATGCTGGTATAAACAAACCTATTTTGTGCTTCCAGTTGTAAAACATAAATTTTTCTTAAAGAAAGCCTAGCAGCACATACATTATGTACAGCACATCATACTCGACAATGATAATGTGACTAGATTACTGGTTTATGTAATAATGATGTTTTTATCATTACTCTAGAGTGTACCGCTCCTATTTATTTAAAAAAAAAAAAAAAAGTATGCCATGACTATGCATGGCAAGCATGATGACATGAACCTGTAATCCCAGCAACTTTGAAGACTCAGGCAGGAGGATCCTGACTTCCAGAACAGCCCAGAAACTTGGCAAGACCCTAAGCAACTTAGTGAAACCCTGTCTCAAAATAAAAATTTTTTTAAAAAGAGCTGGGGATATATGCACCCCTGGGTTCAATCCTCGATACCTAAAAATAAAAATAAAAAATAGGAAAAAAAATAGAATTTGTGTATAACATAGCCAGAGTCAGATAAACTACTATATATGGTTTGTCAATATATTTCTTTATTACAACATGCAGTTTTTCCATATAGATTATATATTTAGTCACTGAAAAATATGTCAGAGCTAGCAGAACCTCAATTTTTAGTTCCCAGAGGTGGCTTTTTTGGGGGGAAAAAAATCATAACTTTGACTTTTGAAGTGATCTTTTTAAAATATAAAATTAAATAGAACTTACAACACTAGGAACACCACATAATCTTTTGGGAATAACTGCAATCACCTGTCCCTAGTAATATGCTGATCTGAGTACCCCTCAAAAAGACAGCAAAAAGTGAGAATCAGAGAGGGCAGTTCACACCTACTTGATGATAGCTTCATGGGACCGGTAGTTCTCACACAGGAGGATCCTACATGGAAACTCTGCAGGGTAATGCTCATAGAGTCGATCAAGTAATGAAACATGAAGGTTTCTTTCCCTGGCAAATTCGCTGTAAACAAAAGGACTGAGCTGTAACAGACAAACATACAGAGAAAATTTAACTAAATATACAATTAGCATTCTTTAACTTGCTTATAAAATATCACTGTGGTAAAATTTCTGATGTGTTAAACCCCAACATGCTAAAAGAAATAACATACAAAATCAGTTGACATTTTCTATGAATCCTTTTATTATTATAAGGAACTAGGCCAAAATTTCTAATTCTTCATTGTGGTATGCAACACAAACCTAGAGTTTCTATACATGAATTAATAAAAATCTTATCCGGGGCTGGGGTTGTGGCTCAGTGGTAGAGCGTTGCCTAGCATGTGTGAGGCACTGGGTTTGATTCTCAGCACTACATATAAATAAATGGATAAACTAAAGTCCATCAACAACTAAAAAAAATTTTTTTAAAAAAAGATCTTCTCCAATAATATACTAAATGATGACTACTTCAGTAACTTTAGGGACGCAACCCATAGTATCACTGGGGAGTCACATTAGTTACCTCACCAAAACTGATCAATTATTTTAAGCGATGAGCCGGGAGGACATACAGATCATGACTAAAATTATTTTTAATTATTAACAAAACAACCCCCTTTCCTTTTTCTGGGAAAAAAAAAATTGCATATGCTAGGCAATGGTCCTAGCACTAAGCTACATCCCCAGCTCTTTCTTTTTTTAATTTTGAAATAGGGACAAGGTTAGCTGCCTGAGCTGGCCTCAAACTTTTGATCCTCCTGCCTCAGCCTCCTGAGCAGCTGGAATTACAGGCACGATATCTAAATCAAAACAATGCTCTTAGCCTCATAAAGTACAAGGAGTGATTCTAGGTAATACTTTTTATTGCTAAAGAACAAAATTAAACTACTTTGCACAAAGGAACAAAAACAAAATTTGCTTCTTCATAAGAACCTCCTCTCTGAGTGTCCTGACAGCTCTAACACTATGCAGGTGTAATCTGAATCAGCTGTGGTAAAAGAGTTGCCAAATGGCAATTTCGAAAAATAGACATCTTAATAGAAAAAACTGTTTCTTTCTCATGAATAGGTATGCAAATACATAAAATGTGATATATTCTTTGACATTTTGACTATAATTTTTAATTAAGCCCTTTGTTTTTTATGACATAAAAAAATCAATCCTTCACAAAAACACATATTAGAGACAGAAATTGGGGAATTTTAAGATGGATCATTTAAATTCTGTAAAAAAAGTAAAAGGCTGGGGTGTAACTCAGAGGTGGAGCCTGAGTTCAATCTCCAACATCATGCCGAAAATGAATAAGAATCAAACATTCATTATATAAAGAAATGAGCTTCAAAATAATAAATGTTAAAATAAAAACAACATTGATAAGACTCTTATTATTTATTCTAAATTGTCTAAACAAAGAAGAAAAAATTGGGACCAGTAATTTTCCTTCAGAAATATCAGCATTTTTCACCATTAGTATAAAAATACTTAAGGGCTGGGGTTGTGGCTCAACGGTTTGCCTAGCACRTGTGAGGCCGTGGGTTCAATTCTCAGCTAAAGAAAGAAAGAATGAATAAAAGAACAAAAGAAAAAACAAATGAAAGAACAAAAAAAAAAGAAAAGAAAAGTCCACTGACAACTAACAACATTAAAATAGAAATACTTAGAAGTACTTAATCTGCAATACCTGTCACAATTTCATAGGGTGTTATAGAAATAGAATGTTAAACACCAAAATATAATTAAAAGTTATTTTCAGTATGCTTGATGACTAAGAAAGCAGGTACCTGCATGTGATCACCAGCCAAAACAATCCGGGTACTTTTAGTTGCTAATGCTAGAGGCATAATGGTTTCACACTCCATGGCCTGGGCAGCTTCATCTAGCAGAATGTGCGTAAAAAACCCTGGAAACACAGAGCAAACACAGCAAAGTATATTATGGCAGCAACAGAAGTAGAAATCACTGGTTTTCTGCTAAGGAAAGAGTTTAGCTTGTTAACCAAGAAGTGTGAATACTTTTTWAAAAATATTTTTTTAGTTGTTAATGGACCTTTATTTATATGCGGTGCTCAGAGGATTGAACCCAGTGCCRCATACATGCTAGTCAAGTGCTATATTACTGAGCCACAACCCCAGACCAAGTGTGAATATTTTTAAGAACTATCCTCAATTTAGATAATCATCTATTAAAATCATCACTTAAAAAATAAGAGTTTAAAAAGAATGACTCAGTAATGTGTATGTAAACACTTGCATCTGGCTCAAAGACTGTTAAATCAGTATATATAGAAAAGATTTTAAAAGTTCAAGATAGAGTCTTTTGACTAAAAGAAGGGTAACTAAACAACTGACAGCCCCAAAGCTCTTCCACAATTTATTTGCCAAAAACACCAAAAATAAAATAATGGTACTTCTTAAGTAACATTACCCTAAACATAAACAGACATTAAAGAAAAACATACTCAAATCTAATATAAAGGAGAAAGTTGTGAAAATCATTCAAATCTAACATTATAACTTATCTTAGACTAAAAACAATGAGAATCTTATTAGCAAATTTACTAATTTGAGTATTTAGGTTTACTTTTCATACATAATCAAGTGTCATTTAATAACAGGGATATGTTCCAAGAAATGTAACATTAGGCAATTCTGTCATTCTATGAACGTCAGAGTGTGCTTACATTAATCTAGATGGTATAGCCTGCTATACATCTAGACGATATGAATGTGTGTGTGTGTGTGTGTGTGTGTGTGTGTGTGTGTGTGTTGTGTGTTATGTAGTCTTTTGCTCCTAGGTCTGTGATGAACAAGATCAAACCAACCAAGTGAAAATAATATAATCAATAGATGCAATAAACATGAGATGGATGAGTAAACATTTTTGTGTAGGCCAGGAGTACACATTAAAATAACAATAGTGTGGGCTGGGGTTGTGGCTCAGCGGTAGAGCACTCGCCTCGCACGTGTGAGACCCTAGGTTTGATCCTCAAAACTACATAAAAATAAATAAGTGTAATAAAAGTATTGTGTCCAACTACAACTAAAAAATAAATATTAAAAAAATAATAACAATAGTGTCTGTAGTCTCAGTTACTCAGGAGACTGAGGCAGGATGATCACTTGAGACCAGCAATTAAACCCAGCCTGTATAACACAGCAAGACCCCATCTCAAAAATAAAAGTATAGTAACCACATAAACCAGGAACCCACTTGTCAATTACCATTACTAAGTATTGTGCACAGTACATAACTGTACATACTACATTTTTATACAACTGGCAGTACAGTAGATCTTTTTCTACCAGCATCACCAAAAACATGTGAGTAAATGTGTTACCCTACAATTTTACAATGGCTATGATGTCACCAGGCAATGGAATTTTTCAGCTCTGCTAAGACTCTCATGGACCACCATCACATAGCCAGTCCATGCTTGACTGAAACATCATTGTGTGGTGTACGACTCTCTAAAATATGTATAATTTTTTCGCCTAAGACCTTAGCCTGGTTTAAAAACAAATCACCACTCTGAAAATACAGGTCTGATAACAAGTGTTAAAAATACACACTATCACCAGATGCTGTGGGCATGCCTATAATCTCAGCAACTCGGGAGGCTGAGGCAGGAAGACTGCAAGTTTGAAGCTAGCCTCAGCAGCCTGGCAACTTTCTAAGCAACTTAGTAAGACTCTGACTCAAAAGATATAATAAAGAAGTATAGGGATGTAGCTCAGTGGTAAAGCATCCCTGGGTTCAATCCCCAGTTACCAACCCTGTAAAAAAGTACATTATCTGGGGCTGGCTTGTGGCTCAGCAGTAGAGCATTCGCCTCGCACATGCGAGACCCTGGGTTTGGATCCTCAGCACCACATAAAAATAAATAAGTGAAATAAAAGTATTGTGTCCAACTACAACTAAAAAATATTTTTTTTAAAGTACATTATCTAATGTTCCCCAGATAAAATGCCTACAGTAGGAGGCATCCCATGTCTTGGTTGCTGTTGCCATTCACACTAGGGCAGACGGTTATGTATGTAGGAAGGAAGAAAAAATTCCTTTGCCTCTAAGAGTGGAGAAAGAGGCAAAACCCTCCTTGCTGACTGAATAAAGAAGTCCTCCCACCATACTACCAACTCACTGGGTAGGAAGGGTGCTCTCTCCTTTTTAGGAGCATAGCAAAGGACAGAAAGTAGTTTCCCACAAAATGAAAGTGATAAGTCTACAGAGGCCAGGGGCAGAATGGATTAACCAGCCTCCTGTGAGTTAGCTAAAAAACCTATTTCTATAAATATCAAGAATTCCAAACAATTGGTTTATACAATTTTCTAGACAACTTGTTTTTAGGTTAGGAACTTTCTAAATCTTACTGGTTGGCAGTACTAACCATTATCATCACCCATTCAAACAAATGACTCTGAGTGACAACAAAAGTATCTCTAACTATAATCTATTTATCAATAGTGGCCTAAGCGTGACATGGACACATGCATTTTTCTTCCTGTTGAGAATTCATGCTTTTATTCTAAAGGATTAAGAAAAACAACTATAAAACTGGAAAAACTGATACTAGTGAAAAAAATTCATTTGCCTCTAAGAGCGGAGAAATAAATAAATAAATCATAAAAAAATATTCACTATTGATTAAGCTAGAAAAAGTAACTTGAATTGATCAAACTGAATTAGTTTAAGTCTTATTTTCTCATCTGTAAAATCATCTTCAAAAGGGTCAATATGAGAACTGAATGAAATGAAGTATTAACAACATTCACAACAAAAGACCCAGTCACCTTCCAAAAGAGATGATCCTACACTCTAGGTCTCCAAAGCTATTCTTCACTCTTTCTCACAAAACAATACTGTTTAGGAGGCTTAGATATTTAGCTACATAGCAAATATGTGGAATATGATCAAAAAGTAACAAGACTGATTGTTAAATAAACATACTAAACATTTCWAGTAAGTGTTGTTGCAGTCAAAGAAGTCCCTTGGGAAGAAATATAACTCATTCCAATGATACTGCCACTATTCAAAACATTTTGAACCTCCGCTTTTGTAACTGCCCTCACCAGCTAGCTATGAGCTACACACACAGAAAATAAGTCTCATTACCTGAGCAGCACATCTGTTTTCTTTTTTTCTCTCTAATGGCATTGCCCAGTTTAATCATCTATTTTATTCATTATATACATCTCAGAAAGATTTAAGCTTTTCTAAAATTAAATCTATACTCAATAACTTTTTTTTTTTTTTAAAGGTTGGCCACCATTCCTTCATTTAAGATATACAGGGCTTCCAGGTATCTATACTCTAGSCTAGGTGCCAGGAATAGAAGGTGAAGAATTCGTCTCTGGCTCTGAAAGCAATTCCAACAGGAGAAGATAAAAAATTTTGATCAATGTCAACAATTATAATGTGACAGTAATAAATGAGCATCCTTTTAAAGCATCTGAAGTAATACTACTTTGTTCCACCATATTATCACAACAACCTGTTATCTTCTATCTGGCCCTGTGTAATATTAGATTGATTTTTCATAGCTCCAGTATAGAAATGTAATAGTATTACATAAAAAAAAAAATCCTATAATGCTTGCTGTCTCTACAATGCAAAAGCAATTTAAGACAAAAACTTGAGAAAATTATAAAAAACAACAAACAAAAAAACACCAACAATGTCCAAATTTGAATTCTTCATGTGATTATAAGTAACTACCACCTGACCAATGGAATAACAGTCATGAAAATGTCTAGGGTTTGGATAATTTTTTCAGTACAGCGCACATAGTGTGTATCTTAGGTTGTGGGCCATAGTCTCTGTTGCAACTACTCAACTCAGGTGTTGTGGCACAAAAGCATCTATAGAAAGCAAACAGGCAACTAAATGGGCACCGGTGGCTGTGTTCCATCTAGTAAAACTTTATTCAAACACAGGCAGCAAGCCAGATTTGGCTCATGGGCTACAGACTGAATACACAAGCCCTAACCCTGTGAGATACCCTATATTGCGGCAGGAGTCAGCATACCAGGTTCAAGGTCCAACTGACAGAGGTACTGGGAAGTATTCAATGTAACCACCACCACTCGATGTTTAAGAATATCTTCTTTCTGTGGCATCTGAAAGGTGGAATGTGCGCTTGAGATCAAACAGTACTGATGCACAACTGGGTGGACAGTCTTTACCCAGCGATTTCGGAAATAAACCCTGTAAAAAAAAAAGATAATATTTCTGATACACATTTATCAACATCTTAACAATACCTGATTACTAAAATTATTGACACCATTATTTTCCAATTTCTGGAAATTAACAAGTAAAACTTCATAATTGTTAATTAACACTCCACTGTACTAGAATTTAACATAAAACTGCCACTATATCTAGTGTGATGTCTCCCATTTTAAAAAAAGGAAAAGGAAAAAAGATATAAACAGAAAGCATAAGTGCTACCACAAAATAAATACCTAATGAATTTTAAGAGTTYAGATTAATCTCAACAAAATGACAAACAAGTTTTATACATGCATATGGGTTTTTAATTAAATTCAAAATCGTTCTACTATGGAATTACTTTTTCTAGAATATTCTTACAAAAATACACTGAACTCATATTTTAGAATATGAAACTGCACACTTATAACACAAATTCAAGTTATTTGCATTTTACTTTAGAAAACTTCTTACACCTATATCTAAATAGACCTCTGTCTGAGATTCTGGACATTTTAAAACAAATTTAAATTCTGAACAATCAAAAGTATCAAAAGTATGCAAACTTTAAGAAAGTGCATATCTTCCATTAATTGCAAAAGAAAAATATTAATAGGTTTCATGCTACAGATTACTAAAATGCTACAGAAAAGACTCATCCATCCATCCACCCATCCAACTCTCACTCCCCCAACATAACAAAGACTAGGCATCTACTAAGCTATAGTACAGGAACAGATCACACAGGGGTTGGGAGTAATCATAAAGGCTCTGGATTTAGCCTGAGTTTAATGAAAAGCCTTCAGAATTTGACAGGACAGGGCAATGAAAAGCCTTCAGAATTTGATAGGATTGTGGCTCAATGGTAGAGCATTTGCCTAGCACATGTGAGACACTGGGTTTGATCCTCAGCACTACATAAAAATAAATAAATAAAATAAAGGTATTGTGTCCAGCAATGATTKTTTTTTAATTTTTTTAAAGAAAAAGAATGACAGGACAATCACACAACATGACTTATGTTGCTAGAGGACGTATGTTGCTCTGTTTCTCTGGGCAGAATATGTTGCAGGGGAGGACCAGACAATGGTATGCTGGGGAGGAGGGACTCATTTGTAGTGTTTGCAAATTTCCCTGGTGTAAAAACTATTACCATGGCCAATTTCAAGTGAGTAGTACATGTCACTGAACATGAACACGTGAGACATGCACATGATCAGCTATCACAAGCCAGTACAATTTAACATCGACACGCCTCTGGGTGGGATGGAGGTAAGGGCAGTGAAATCAGTTAGGAGGTTGTTGAAAGGCATGGACAAGAGAAGATGGTGGCTTGGACTAGGATGGTAACAATGGAGATGTGAAAATGGTCAGATTCACTAGACACTGTAAGAGTAATGCCAATACAATATAGCAACACAGCTCAGTGGTAAAACACTTGCTGAGTATTGTGCAGCTATGAGTTCAATCCCCAGTACCTCAAAAAAAAAAAAAAAAAAAAAAAAAAGTCATGCCAATACGATTTACTAATCAACTTGAGATAAAATTTAAGAGAAAGAGCTTGACCTGGTAGCACACACCTTTAATCCCAGTGGCTTGGGAGGCTGAGGCAGGAAGATTGTGAGGTCAAAGCTAGCCTCAGCAATTTAGCCAGACCCTATCTCTAAATAAAAATAAAAGAGAGCTGGTGATGTAGCTCAGTGGTGGAGTGCCCCCGCATTCAATCCCTAGGTCAAGCGGTATGTATTGGGAGAATACAAAGTCTTAAGATGAGATATTATCACCTACAGAAAAAGAGTAAATTTAAAAAAGAAAGAAAACTAGAGGTAGAATGAATGACGGAACACTTCTACATCTAGAGGCTGGGAAAAGGAGTAGGATAAAGTAAGGCAACTGGGAGAGGGCCTGAAATAGGGGAGAATTCAGGAGCTGTAGGGAGTATTAGATACAAAATGAACAAACTGTTTCAAGAGAGAAATAAAGAGTAACAGTACCAAATGCTGCTAAGAGGCTGAATAAAATAAGAACTGACCACAGGATTCAGAAACAAGGAAACCATTAGTAACCACAAAATAATGGTTTCAGATTAAAAGTAAAGATGGAAACTTTGATAACCTGGGCTCAAGACAAAGAGAACATAGGAAGTAGAGCCAGGGAATACAAATATTTATAAAAATTTTCAATAGAGGAATACAGATGAAGTCAAGGTAGTTTTCTAAATCAAAGGGCTGTATCAGTATGCATCTACTCTCATTTCCAAAATGGATCTAATAGCTCAACCTCAAGGATTTAGAGAAATTATATATAATATGCAGCAGAATACCTGGCACCAACAAACAGAAGTCCTCCACTTCCCACAGCAAAGCTGACACTAGAAGCAGCATTGAATCTAGGGGCACTTTATCACTGAGCCACATCCCCAGCCCTTTTAATTTTTTATTTTAAGACAGTCTCATTGAGTTGCTTAGGGCCTTGCTGAGGCTGGCCTCACACTTGGAATCCTCCTAACTCAGCCTCCTGAGCACCTGGGATTATAAGCAAGCACCACCATGCCCAGCTTTGAAACCAGCATTTTTAATACTCAGTTAATATTCAATTTACATCACACAAATGTAAAAGGTGACACGATGGCATGAATACAAGCAATTAAAACCAGTCTTCAGAAACTTCTACAATCTGTTCTCAAGCTCTGTGAAACACGTAACACAGGGTTTTCTTTTTTATTGTAAACAGAGCAAAAAGCTTATTTAATAAATGTCTCAATATAAATTATAATTGAGGAATAAGATATTTTAAAAACACTATGGTGATAAGAATTGTAAACTTGGTCAAAGTTTAGAATTACCACTTCTAAAAGAGACAAAACTTTCAAATATGTTTTATATTTTAATAAAACAAGTTTAATCAGATCAGCAAAGCAAATTTACTTTTAAATAATACCTCATTTTACAAATTGTCTATGATTCTATTCACATTAACCCCAGTAAATGTAATTAAGCATAGAAACAATTAGGACTTAACTCCAAAGTGTTAGTAGTGAGTGTTTATCTCTGGATACTGAGGCTATAGATAATATTGATTTTCTTCTTTGTGCTTATTTACTTCAATAAATATTTCATTGTAAAATAGAAAAGAATGGTTTTTCAAATTACTTATCAACTAACTCCAGGAACCTGATTCTTCTTCTTCAAAGGGAAAAAAAAARGAAAGAAAGAAAGAAAGAAAAAAAAGAAAACCTGAAGTTCTAAATATCATTACTGACTTTTTCACATTACTTGGAAAGTTACCTCAAGTAAGAATAAGAAAGTAAGCCATAAGAATTCAAAGCTTGATCTCTTGACTATTTTATTAAAAGTACAACACTAGTGCTCACTTTCAAAAGATTTAAATATTTTCTCTGTATTGTCATTTCATGCAACATTTAATGAGACAGATACTTTCAGTAAGATTATTTAAAACACACCTAACATTTTTCAAAATCTGAGAATTGATAGTAAAAAGTGACACTTAAGGGGCTGGGGTTGTGGCTCAGTGGTAGAGCACTTGCCTGGCATATATGAGACACTGGGTTCAATTCTCAGCACCACATATAAATGCATAAATAAAATACAGGCCATTGCCATCTTTAAAAAAAAAAAAGTGACACTCAAGTTCACAGTGTAAAACATAAGCTGGGGATGTAGCACAGTGGAAAGAGTGCATGTGCAAAACCCTGGGTCCTTTCCTAGCACCTAGGGTAGGGCAGGGCTGGGGGAGGGTATAAGGCTGTACGTTGGCAGGAACCAGAATTCCAGTTACTACCGAGGCTGAGGCAGAAGGATTCCAAGTTTGAGGACAGTCTGGGCAATTTGGCAAGATTCTGTCTCAAAATAAAAAGAGCTGGGAGTAGGGCTGGGGTTGTGGCTCAGCGGTACAGTGCTTGCCTCACACGTGTGAGACCATGGGTTCAATCCTCAGCACCACATAAAACATAAATAAAATAAATGTCTAAAAAAAAAGGAATATACTCTTTTAAAATAAATAAGTAAATAGAGCTGGGAGTATAGCTCAGTGGTAGATCACCTCTAGGTTCAATACCGAGTACCCACCCTCCAAAAAGGTCAAAGTACTTAATTGACTCCAATTACGTAATTTACATATTTTCTAGAAACAAAACAACTCAAATATCCCACAGGATTTATAATGATTCTTAAAATAGGACATAGTTTGGTAATTATAATTCACTGCAATCTTATTCATGTATTGAATTCATATGCAATAATGAAGCTCCTGAATGATATTAGTTAACATATTAAGAATCAGAACATGATACCAGAAGAAAATTACATCTTTAAAGATCTTTCTACAACAACAAATTTTTCCAGTTTGCCCAGGAAGCGGTCAATCTCCAAAGAGGGCCTCTCCCTGCTAAATGGACTATAGGGAAAGCAGTTTGTTTCTGTGCATGATCCTCAGAAACATGCACAGAAACAAACTGCTTTCTGAATAAAGTAAAAAGTAAAAATAAATGTAATCTAAAATGATTTCTAAAACCTCCACTCCCAATATCTGGAACTCAGCTCAACTCCTGGCAACTAAGAGAATTTTATAAATTTGAATCACATGTAGTATATTTAAACCTACTAACTAGTGCTATTTACTCTGGCTAGTCTCACACTATCAAGTTTCCTGGGCTGGACTCTAAAGTACTGTCAAAAGACAACAAACCTTCACTCCCTGAAGACATCCATCTCCTTCATGATCAGAGCAGACACTTGGTGCCCTCTTGTGTTCCTTCCCCTGCAGCCTGGGATCATGTGGAGAAAGCTGATCGCCCCAGAGCAGTTAGTCACTCTAATTTTCCCTACTGGTGCTAATAAATCCTAACAAGTATTTCTCAGGAAATACATTTACAAGTCAATACATTACCCAAAGAGGAAAACAGAGTGGAAAATGTAGGTTTATATGAAGAAAGTATGCAGGGAAGTCAGGGTTTTTTTCTCATTTAATTCAAT